GGTACCCTTCGCTCGGGTGGCGGGGGGGGGGGGGCAATTTGACCCCTCCCTGAGATCTCGGGAACTAAGAAAGCTAGACACACCAAATTTACAGGGTGTCCTTACCTGTACGCGAACTCACTTAGGTCAAAGTTTGGGCTTCCTAGGTCATGATCTTCAGGTCATATAAGCCAAAACAAGGACAAATTCCAGGTTGGTCTCCAAAGGGCCCCCAGAACGTAGGCAACCGCTTCTAAGCAAAAGGTCAAAAGCCCATTTGAGGTCAGTGACCTTGTTTCACTTTTGAAGTTCATGGTGACCAACATCATACAAAAGTGCTCTGAGTTTTGCATTTGAATAAGCGACAAAGATTACATTAGGCAGCATGTTCCCAAAACAAAGTGTTGAGCCAGGTCATGTTAGGTCAATGACCTGTTATGACCTCTAAGAAGTCAATGGAAGATGCATAATGCGGTTCCTGCAGTCAATAAATCCGAAAAGAGCACCACAAACTATCCATACAGCAAGCCCTAAAGTAGTAAATCAGGTTGGTTGTGACCCTGGTCTGAGCTTCATACCTGACCTTAGGTCAGCGTCATTTGCTCATTCAATATTTGTGGTGTCTAAGAAAGCATCTCAGAGATGTATGGCTTTGTCAAACACTCCGTTATTGTATCAGATTGAATGATTCCCTAGAAATTGCCTTCGCTGAAACCATGCCCTAACTTTGACCTGCCATAGGTCAGCGACCTTACAAGGTACATTTAAATTTGTATGTCAAGCTATCCGCTATTTAATTGTCTACGGCTATGCAAAATTTGGAGCGACTGCGCAGCGCCGTTCGGAAGCCATTCTGGAAAAACCTTCGGCGGTCAATTTGACCCCCATCCGAGCGCGTGTTAAGGTGCGCGTGGAAACCAAAATCCCTTCTAGTTCGTCCTAGTTCGTTGTTGAGGAAGCAAACGGATAGCTATCAATATCTATCGTCGTTATCATCATATATCGTCATTATTTTCAGAGCGGGTCAGTATCTCGGTATCGGCCAGCGGTATCTCGCTGGCGATCTCGGTATCAGCCAGCGGTATCTCGCTGGCTGATGTGACGCTCAGGATGGAGTTGAGCTTACCGCACTCGATCACTTATCAACAGTTGCGTCTGGTGTTCTAGAGCTGGAATGTATGACTAAGCGGATTGATGACGGCACAGCCTATTTGGCCATGGGATAAGCTTTGAGAAGTCTTGACTGACGTACATGCTCTCTCCCCCCTCCGCCTCTCTCTCTCTCTCTCTCTCTCTCTCTCTCTCTCTCTACTCTCCTCTCTCTCTCTCTCCTCTCTCTCTCTCTCTCCTCTCTCTCTCTCTTCTCTCTCTCTCCCTCTCTCTCCTCTCTCTCTCCTCTCTCTCTCTCTCTCTCTCTCTCTCCTCTCTTCTCTCTTCTCTCTCTCTCTCTCTCTCTCTCCTTCTCTCTCTCCTCTTCTCTCTCTCTCCTCTCTCTCCTCTCTCTCCTCTCTCTCTCTCTCCTTCTCTCTCTTCTTCCCCACTTCGCGTCTCCTCCCTCCCTCTCCTCTCCGCTCCGCTCCAGCATCTGGTGACAATCAGTGACCAGTCTGTCGGGGGATTGAGACCTGTCATTCTCACCGTCGTACACTGACAGACACCGCCGATATCACGGCCGGTCTACCGCCCGCCGCCCGCCGCCCGCCGCCCGCCGCCTCCGCCTGCACCTGCCAGCGGCCCACCGAGGCGGCGGAGGCACACAGAACACTTTGCGGTACACCGCTGCCGCTCAAACCGCCAGCACACCCCCGGGTGCCGCGTGCCCTGCAGCCCGCTCCCGTCAGCCGCCGCCGCCGACCACGGGCAGCGCCCCTCCCCGTCTCGACACCGAGCGGGCGCCGCCGACACGTGCCGCGCCCTCGTCAATATCGCCGCCGGTGCCGCGCGGCTATTCCGGCGGCGCGGCGGGCGCCTGCCTCGCGGCTGTCCGCTCGCAGCTCGTGTGCCGCCGGCGCGGCGCGCTCTGTGACGCCAGGGGAACGCGCCGCGACCTGATGGATGGCGGCCCGTCGCCGGCCGGCCGGCTGCCACCCGATCCCTGGAGCGAATCCCGGGCCGCGCGCCGAGCCGGCCCGGCGCCTGCCGGGCACGAGCCGGTGTCAGAGGCGGCCAGGCACGGCCGAGACCGAGCCGACGTCGGCACGGGTAATCGCCGGCGCTCTCCATCGATGCGGGGAACAGCTGCGGCCATTAGCGTCACGTACTGTCACATGAGCAGCGGCAGTAGCGGCAGCGCAGTGCGCTTCTCCTCGAAGGAATTTGACCAGATGCTTTGCGGTTACTGCTTGGGGATCAAGGGCCTTTTATGCAAAGCTTGTTGTAAAGATCCCAACCTGCCACCAGCCAAGCGGAGCAATGTCAGTTCATCGGACTAGTTTCGCGGGCATGTTTTCACGTTCCACGTTCTACCTCAACAAACTCCGTCCCCCTAATTCGGGCCGGTCCTCTCGGCCTGCTGCCAGATGGCTACCAGAGATCAATGACATGGTCGTGGCTGGTCTGGTGTTCAACAGCAAGTCTGTCACTGGCTAGTCAGTGTCCGAATTTCACACACTCACACCCACACAAGTCACGCCCAGTACCCTGGCGATCATCAGGTGCGAGTTAGTAATTACCAGGTCGTTTTACCAGAATCCCCTTGAGTCTCACTAGCATTGGAACATGAGGGCGTGTCAGTCTGCTCCGACCGTATCGCAACAGACATGATGCACAACAGCCATGCTGTTAAAACTATCCTACGGCGGAGCCAAAAGACAAAACCGGGCTATATAACCGAGATCGCACCGCGGACCGCGAGACCTAAGACCAAATTTCCCGGGGATCCCCGCAATAAACCGTGCGCAAGGATGCGCTTTTCAAGGGAGCGGGGACTCAAGGTGGAAGCAAAAGCGCACGGCTTCGCAACCATGCAGTCAGCTGACCAGGCGCCTCACACCCAGAACGGCGTACAAAGTGTGCGCAGCGAGATTCCGCCAAGCAGAATGTAGCATTGGCAGTGCCCTTGACGCTATCACCGACGAAAGGGGCGGATCGCTGTTACGCAGTAGTAGTGTTGTTGATGTCATCGTCAAGAAACTGCCCACATCACTCAAATAACAGGTGTGGGTTTTTACAATATTGACTTCAAGTGCATATTCTTAGGTAAGGATCCTGTTGAGAACATTGCGAGAAACCTGAGATCGAGCCGCCAGGCGCCGTGTGTTTTTTGCACTAATGATTCATAACAAGAAAGTTAAAAAGTCCACAAGTGGCCCGCTTCACGTAATGCTGCACAGAATGAGCGCGTGTGCATAACCAGTTTAAAGTGAGCCAGCACAATTGGTACGATATCATTGTGTAATAAAATATATCACTTTGTCCTTGAAACATCCTTTTAACCCCCACCCCGCCCCCAAATTGCAAACTGCTTGTCACGAGCACTTGGTGAGCGCGGTTTCGGGTCAGGTCTAGTAGCCCTACATTTGGAGAAAAACCTTGTGGGAAACTTTGCGACTCACTGGGAACCAGAATCAGGAATCAAAACATGACTGTTTAAACAAACCTTCGCCAATTTTTCATCTCTATAGATTATCACTGCAAGGCCGTCATAATCTTGTGGAAACAGCAATCGTATTTTAAAACCTCAAAAGTATTGAGTTTCGAATAAAAGTTTCCGCCTATTTAGAAAATTCTTGTTAGCACTTGATTGATCTATACATGTCTTTGGGCATGGCCCTAAATGTTACGACGTCTCGCTTCCTTTCCAACGAACGAGTGATCCCCTCTCCGCCCCAAAGAGGACTTGTCTAAAGTGCGATAAAGTGGCAAATGTAGACTTCAATTAGATGCATCTGGTTTGTCGTTCAGGCCCACAAAATACCTCATAGTTCTCCAAAATGTCTTGTTTGATTTTGGGGGCCGTTATTTTTCGCAAAGTGGTCGCGTGATTTTGCGGTTAGGTGTACTAAGCATGGCTGGGAGGAGTTACAAAATTATATCATCTAAGACTACTTAGAACTTTTAGCTAGACACCCCGAGGTTCCCTTAAAGGCCATCTTTAAACTCCAGGAATAGGATCCAAGTAATGGCGTATCAGCGCACAAAAGCCCAGCCCGTCCTCCTGAGCCACAGGGCACCCATTCAATAGCCTAATCCACCTCAGCCATTACCTGCGGCCATTTCGAGCCGCCACACCATAAATACATTACCCCCGTCCTACTCAGCCTGGCCCCACTCAGCCCGTATTTCCGCCGACAAGGACGCACAGCAGGCCTGGCGTCGAAGATGGCCGCGGCTGTCAGGTCACTGGATTGGGGGAGTGTGTCGTGACGCAGTGCCCCCTGACGGAAGCCTGCTGCCCGTGGGCTGGTAGGAGACGGCAACTGCGGGGTCGTCGGCAGAGCTGGGCTCAGCAAGGCTTGTAGGAGTGGCAGGTCACGTTTGGTGGTGATTGCGCGCATTTGTCCGTCTTGGTCGGTAGCTGTTCGCGGCACGTAGATGTGGGAAGATTCATTGCGGAAGTCCGCCGCCTCGTGCGATTTATTCTTGGCTTTAGTGATGACTTTGTAAATGTTGTCGTTATCGTTAAAACATATCTGAAGATCTCTAGTGATGGGACCGATGATCAGAGATTTGAGATTCACAGGAGCTATAGATGCTCGCGCACATTCGACTGTTCTTGACATCTGCACACGGCAAGGGCGGTGTAGAAAGAACACGAGGACATACAAAATAATCGCCTGTCTTCCGGTGGCAATCCGGCCAAAGTGCAAAGATCATCAAGGTCTGGGAAAAATCGACTGTCTATGTCTATGTCTAAGAAACCCAGTCACGCAGATTTCGCGTCTCACGATATGTTATGAGCGTCTGTTGGTTGCCGCGGTGATATCTCGCCTGAGTGGCTGTGAGATGTGCTGTCTCCGTCGGCGGTGGATGTGACTGTGTTATCCCGCCTGTCTGACCGTATCCTCTTCTCTTGTTGCCAGATGGCGGCGGTGACAACGGTTTGTGTGGTCTGCTGCTGACATTCATATCATGGCTACTGGTCATCGTCACTCTGCCATTCTCTCTCTGCGTCTGCTTTCGGGTACGTCTTCCTCCTACCAACACTCGCCACCGCCAAAACCCAACCGCACTCGCCATCAAAAACCTCCAGCGGCACTCACTACCAAAGTCCCTTATCGACACCGATTACTAAGACTTGCTGCTCCCGCCCAACACCAAAATTCCCAAGCAGCACCCAGAACATAAAATACCAACGCCACCATTAAAACTCTCGCTCGCTAGAACGCTCGCCATTAAAACTCATTACATGTGCTCGTCATCAAAACTATCCAACCCCATTCACCATCGAAATTTAAAACGGTCTTCCCTTCCGAAAGGTCTTGGCGGCACTCGTCATAACAAAATTTCCATCGGTACTCGCAACGAAAAGTCCACTGGAACACGCTATCGAAAATCCCCGTGAGTACTCGACGCCAAAGGCCTTTACCTACATTTCTTACGAAAAGTCTGACACTGCTCGCGAATAATCTCACCGAAAACCCTTTTACCGCAATCATTTCCCGCAAAAAGTACAGCCCGCACTCGGCATGGAAAGATTTCCACCGGCATTCGCCAACCAAAGTCCCTGCCGGTAACCACTACTGAAAGCCCCCACCAGCACTCGCTGCCGGAAAAATGGCCCGAACGCCTCCTGCGGAGAGCTCTCATTCTGTGCTCCCAGCCGGCACCACAATGGGCAGATCACACCGATTAACTCCACCGAAGCGTCAATCACAGCCGACCATCCCACCCGGCACTACTGACCAGCATAAGGCGTTTGCACGGCAAAAAGGCGCTGAAAGGCAAGCCAAAGGTCACGCATTGAGCCTATTGCGTAGACATGTAGCTGCACGCTACGGATTCCACATTTCTGACGAACGATGGCGTCTTTGAGAAGAACGATATTTATTAACACAATGTTGGTGTACTGTGTCTTCTTCCTAGAGCTATTATGGACATAATGTTCAGGATTAAATCTCATCCACCGCGATGGTTTAGAGTTTTCCCCATCAAGCAATGCTAAATCTTTTACGGTTTAATTCGCCCTGTGACGAATTGCAAAGAAGTGTTGTGCTGAACTTCTGTTGTGCAAAAACAGCATTCCTATGTCTAAGCTGTTTCAATCTGTCCAACTCCAGGTTGGTGTGACGTTCAGTGCAATTCGGGGCATTTTGGACATTTCATTTTTTCTTAAATTAACAATCGTCTTGTTCCCTTCCAATCCCTTCTAATGCCTCCCTTTAAACTACATACCATAGGTCTCTTTAAATTTGTGCTATTCAGCTTTTATTGTAAGTTTATCATCATCCACGCCGTTTGAAAATTTTCTAGTATCGTCTAGTTCAGGTCATCATTTAACTCTTGATCCATTGATTTTTTAATGAGTTAAGCACTTGATCTTCAACAGTCACCAGCGATACACTGTTTTCCAAGTATATGGGTAGCTTGTATGTTCTGCTAGCGCTATACTGGGCGTGCCGTTGCGTCTGCTCTCCTAAGGCGCGCCTCCGGGCGCAGCCCGCCCATGTCATGTCATGCTCTGCCCTGCAGAGCTCTTTCCCGCCCATGGCATGTCATGCTCTGCCCTGCAGAGCTCTTTCCCGCCCATGGCATGTCATGCTCTGCCCTGCAGAGCTCTTTCCCGCCCATGTCATGTCATGCTCTGCCCTGCAGAGCTCTTTCCCGCGCATGTCATGTCATGCTCTCCCCTGCAGAGCTCTTTCCCGCCCATGGCATGTCATGCTCTGCCCTGCAGAGCTCTTTCCCGCCCATGGCATGTCATGCTCTGTCCTGCAGAGTTCTTTCCCGCCCATGTCATGTCATGCTCTGCCCTGCAGAGCTCTTTCCTGTCCATGGCATGTCATGCTCTGTCCTGCAGAGCTCTTCCCCGCCCATGTCATGTCATGCTCTGCCCTGCAGCGCTCTTCCCCGCCCATGTCATGAATGCTTGGTACTTTGATTTTTGTGCGAGCACATGCCTATGGGTTTTACGGCCCTCTTGACACGTATGGAATATTTTATGGATTTCTCAAATCTCAAAACATATAAACATATCAAACTGTCCTCACCGCAATGCAAGCTCTTACGTGGCGCCTAGGACCATGAGACACCAAAGTGAGGCCTTGACGCGGGCAGTATTTATTTGCGATAGATGCTGCTTTCCCACTCACCCTTGCTGGCGACGCTCTGCTTCGAGCTAACCGACCGCTTGTTCTTGGTGAGCTCTTGTTTGCGCAGGAATCTGCTGCATCACAAGCTGTAGGGAGGGCGACAATGAGTTGCAGCTCACAGCGTTTGTGTAGCAGCGGTTCTCGTAGATGAGGTCGATGACATCATACGCGAGAACTTGTGCTTTAGAGCCTGATACAAGTCCGAGTTTAATCGTGTGTGCATGGATGGGCATTGCAAGTCTTTGAGTGCATTTTTCTACATCAATATAGACATCAGGGCGTACGACAGCCTCATAGTTACCGGAAACTTAAGTATTATATATATATACATATATATATATATATATATATATATATATGTACGCAGTCCAGAATGGCAATTGCCGAGTGGGATTGCGCACCTCGCCGTCTCGGTCGAGACCCGCCCCAGCATAGTCCGAAGCACACGGGTCACACGGTCGCCACGATCAACGGCCGAGAGTTGGCTCTGCGGAAGCGCATGCGGGCGTTCCGGAGTATCGCTAGCGTGCCGTGACAGTGACACCTGCAGCTTGCCGTGACACTGACGCCCGCAGCGTGCCGTGACACTGACACCCACCGGGCACTGGCCCTGGCCATGACTGGTCCGCGGGCTGGAGGATGACCCGGCCGCGCGTCTCCCTCAGGTGGTGCAGGAGTACGAGAGGGCGGTCATATTCCGCCTCGGGCGCCTCGTCTCAGGCGGCGCCAAGGGTCCAGGTGAGTGGCTGGTGCTGACGTCGGTGACGGCACCGCTGGGTGGGCAGCCCCTGGTGATTGGTGCTGAGAATGGTGCCGCTGCCGGTATTCCATGACACGGCGAACCTCTTTTGCATAGCTGGTAACTACCCAGCGAGTACCCAGGGTCCTGATATGAGAGGTGGAGAGCCTTTATTTACCCCTGTGAATACCAGGTCGGGCAGTGCCACTGGGAGAGCCCTCTTGTTGTAGGTCTTTTGTTATGAGCCTTCTTATTACGAGCTCGCCACGCCAGTGACCAGGCTAAGTGGTGGCTGGGGGCCATTGTCGGGGCAGTAATAAGGCTGAGTACCCGCTGAGCGACGGCTGGAAGTGGCGTTTCCACAGCGGTAATGGCAATGACCAAGATGCCATTTGGTGCTCACTGTAGAGTCAGCAGCCCCGTGCCACAGACGGCAGCCGCCGCAGCCACGGCTGCATACTGTCGCTGCCGTGGGTCAGCGGTTATGTTGTGCCGCTATCGTGCGTCAACAACAGTGTACGGTCGCTGCCGTGGGTCGGCGGCTATGTTGTCCCGTTATCGTGCGTCAACAACAGTGTACGGTCGCTGCCGTGAGTCAGCGGTTGTGCACTGCCTCTGCTCTGGATCAGCGGCTGTATGCCGTGGCTGCCGTGGGTCAGCGGCTGTATACTGTCGCTGTCGTGGGTCAACAGCTGTGTTTTATCGCTGTCGTGGGTCTGCGGCTGTGTGCTGCCGCTGCCGTGGGTCAGCGGCTGTGTACTGTCGCTGCCATGGATCAGCTGCTGTGTGCTGTCGCTGCCGTGGGTCAGCGGTTGGCATTTGGAGACATCGCTCCTGATGCTGATCAAGCAGAGCTTGGGGTGTTCGCGACTCGTTGTCACCGCGTAGTGCCGCCGCCAGCCAGTCGGTGGTCCACCTCTGACCCCACGCGGGGTCATGGGTCAACCACCACGCTAGTCGTGTCATACGTGTTTTAACGCATGAGCTGCGCCACTGCTGTGCAGAGGAAAAATGTCAGAGCAGAGTCTGTTTTCGTGTCATCAAATGATTGAAATTCTTTTCGATACGTCCGTAAAAATAGCGAGCTTAATCAGAGTCCGGGGAGCGGCGTTGAAAAATTTAAAATGCCCTGCTAAGAAACATGGCATTTTAATAGCAACATCGATAGCTTTGTCAAGGCGTCTACACGGATCCGGTACTTGACCATGTGCTCGAACTGATGCATGACACATATAGTTGCCAGTCACACGAATAAGTATTAAAACGTGATATACATTGCACGTGGGCGATTTAGGAATAAGAAATGAGTTGCAAAAAACATCATCACTTGAAGGGGCCGTTATTTGTATTTTCCATAACTGTGAGTTATCGCTACTTGACGACTGCAAAGCCCTCGGCTAACGACAGGCATAAGCATGAAATGTAAGATTTTTACAGAACACATGAGAGTCTCTGAAAGCCGACTTATCGTAATGTAGCTATGGCATGAGTGCCCATGTTCCATCTTCCAGTCTTTGTATCACAAGAAAGGGTTATTCTAATCCCTTCGTTTTTGCACGCCTAGTGCAAATAAAAGTCTCAGTAATGACTCATATCAAGCGAGTTTAAAGCTCGATCGGATATTATCAATAACAATTTAAAGTGAAATTCCTCCATATTCCGATTCTGGTAAGACAATAAAATTTTAAAAAATGGATGAGGTTATAAATGGGGCTGAAAATGAATTATTCCCAACCCTCATGCTATCCATAATGGAAGTTCGAGAGGCCACATAGCTCTTATTTTAGTTCCTGTGTCGGTATCTCTCGCCTTATACTGAATATCTTCTTATAATCTTTATAAACGCTTCTGTGTTCCGTATCGCAGGCTGTGTTCCAATGGTGCTGAACACGGCTTGCAATGCACCAGGGGATAGGTATTGGCTAAGAGGATGCATCCAGGATCATTGGCATGTGGTATGAAGATATGTAACGTTTCCAGCAATGCTGATAGTAAGAGGCCAGCATTACTCATGGTTTTGGCTCTTGGACGTATTAACACATCCCATCTAATATTTCAGGCATTTTCTTCATCCTGCCATGCATTGAAAACTACACCAAGATCGATCTGCGCACATCGGTGTTCGACGTACCTCCGCAGGAGGTGAGGCTGGGTGCGCGGCGTCGGCGTCCGGCGCATCATCGTGCGACAGACCGCCATCGCTGGCGTCCGGTCGCACCATCGTGCGACAGGCCGCCATCGCTGGCGTCCGTCCGCACCATCATGCGACCGACCGCCATCGTTGGCGTCCGGTCGCACCATCGTGTGACGGACTGCCGTCGCTGGCGTACGGTCGCACCATCGTGCGACAGACCGCCATCGCTGGCGTTTGGTCGCACCATCGTGCGACAGACCGCCATCGCTGGCGTACGGCCGCACCATCGTGCGACAGACCGCCATCGCTGGCGTCGTCCGCACCATCGTGCGACGGACCGCCATCGCCGGTCAGGCTTGCCATCGCCGGTAATCACTGCTGATGCCGGAACGGTGACAGGTGCCAGACTAAATGCAGGTGATGAATCGTCAGTCAGGTGATCTCGAATCTTGATGAAAAATTAGCATTCGCCTTTTCCATTCTGTGATGAACCACTTTCGTCCGAAGGAAAATGATTCACATCACGTTGGTGACACTTCTCGTATGAAAATTAAGAGAAAGTTTACTTTAGACCCATAGACCCGAGCGCCGCGACTTCCATGTATTGAAATACACTTTGTAGTGCATACCGTGTGCGGCGCGCGTGCTGATGGCTAAGGGTTAGATAATTATCAAATCACTCTCACGTTTACCTGTCGCCAACAGTGTCATGTGCCCACCAGACAAAAAAAAATGTGTTGTCCATATTGCCATCATTGGGTAGGAAGTGTATGTGAACGAACACCGTGCGGTTTTTTCGCGCATCTTGCAAATGCACAACGCAATTTCGTCTCTATCGGTGGCCGTTTATATGGGGATATTCTAGGGGCATTTCACAAGCCACGCGCATGTTTGCCTTTGGTGGCCAATGGCTTTTAACAAAACAATCGAATGGTGCATAACCATAAGTTTCGACTACCACGGAGCCAATAATTTCTAAATTTTGATTGTTTTTGTTCCTTTTATATGTTGCCCTCGTGGCCTGCGCATACTTATCCGTTATCTTGTCCGTATGTCCTCACTCGCCAGAAAGGCGCAGCAAATAACACCATGGGCTGTTATTCATGTAGAAAGTGGAGATATTCCATTTTAATCTCGGGCAGAAGATTGCCTTCCAGGTCGCGACGGAAAGCCATTTCCAACATCCAACCGTAGTCTTCGTTTAGAAAAATGAACCGCCTCGATTTGGAAAGCAATCTGATCCAGCCCTAGATGAGATATACATCATACCACTCTCGTAAGTGCAGAATATTCACGGAATGGGTGTTGAAATAGTGATTGATGGGGTCAAGTTGCGGATTCACCCGCTGAATTCTCGTAAAAATAAATCTAGTGTGGATTCATCACCTCACTGTAGATACAATTCAACGCCGTTTGTGCCTGCTTCCATCGTGACTTTTCATAGCTCTGGCACATCTATCACAAATTCGATAACGGTAATCTCATTGATTAATGTACTTAGTAGAGCAATCCATCTTCCTGGACTGACAAAGTTAGTCCATTCGCATGGGTGTACCTGAATGGTGTTCCTTCAACTTTATAGCAGTGCGCTGAATAACCAAGCAGTTGTGGCGCCCTAAACCCAAATCAACAACTACGTTATCGCAGGCCATCAACGACGAAGGCTTATGCGAGTGCACCGCCATTATAGACCATTCAGTTCATCTACAGAATGTCGGCATGCTTGAATAACATACCTTATAACAAGCGAACCAATTTCTGTTGGTATATCGCCAAGAGATATCACATGCTAACACTTCTGACCTCGCCGATACAAACAACGCCATGTCCATTGTAGTTTAACTAGCAGTTTTGTATATCTGTTTTGCTCAGACAGGCCTTAAGCCACATCCAATGCGTTTTTTTTTTTGTATTTCTTAGACCGGGAGGCCAGACAACAGGCTACGTCTTCTTAGCTTGTACAATTCAGCGCAAAGCAAGGGTAAGCTACGACACGTTAATTTGGTGACACGTTAATTTGGCGAATGATGTGTTAATCCGGCGAAAGATGTCCGGTAACAATGCAAGCAATAGAACCGATAGCAAAATTGCGACCATCTGGCTCATTTCATCCAACAGCAAATAAAAAGTAAAACATGAGAAACACATTTTTCATGTGTAGAGGGCGTACCAAGACGACCGGATGCTAGGACCACGGCATCGCAGCAGAAACTTCCCCGGGCCGCTCCCAGCAGCAAAAGGCGGGGAGCCGCCCGGCACGACTTTGGCCGTGTTAGACAAGCAATCTGGGATAAGTCCAAGCTAGACAAGAATTGTTCGTACTCATTTGTAGCAAACCACTACGCATTTCTCAATTCGTGGCTGGAGAAACGTTTGGCAAATGAGGAGAACAAGCACAAACACGTTTTGCACATGTGTGGTTGGGCAAATCTCTCGGCAGTGATGAAAACCTGCACGTTGGCAATTGCGCAGGATTCCATTTTGTTATATTTCAGTATTTAACTGTAACTATCTAAATGCGTCTCGCGTATAAGAGCAAGGAAGTGCATCAGAATGTCAAGACGCGAAACGCTGATGGCTGAGGCGAGTGTGAATGGGAGCATGTCTGTGTGTTTGTGCAAGTACTCGGTGTCGCTGGACCCATGCCCCACTGTGCGCCGAGCCCCGCACGCCTGGCGCGGACTACAGCTCTGACGCGGCCCGTCTGGCGCGCGGCAGGTGCTGACCAAGGACAGCGTCACTGTGTCCGTGGACGCCGTGGTCTTCTACCGGGTCAGCAACGCCACCATCAGCGTGGCTAACGTGGAGAACGCCCACCATTCGACCCGGCTCCTGTCCCAGACCACCTTGCGCAACATGCTCGGCACCAAGAACCTGAATGAGATCCTCAGCGACAGGTGAACGGGATGGGCTCGGCAGGCGGGGGGGAGGGGATAGATGTGAGGGGCCAGCGTGACAGACTCGGCAGGCGGGGAGAGCGGGATAGGTGTTGGTATCTCAATAAGCAGGATAAAGGTGAGAGCTCAGTGGATCAGGAGCTAAGCCGAGCAGAACAGATGTGGTGCAGTAACCAGCCAGTTAAAGCCGGCTGGTAAGCCGCCCATGACCGGCCAGAGGCCGTTGGGTTGTTTTTGACGAGTTACTGGGTCGAGCGAAGCAAGAGAAAGTCAGATTCTGCCCACAAGGGAATCCAAGAGCGTTTGGTGGGTAACATATCATCAGGACGGAGAGTTCAGATGCACGATGTCACCACACTATTCCAAATCACCAATCAGCGCCGTCTCACCATACGGCCCTGCTCTGTCTGTGCGCCGGATCGAGACGCCGCTCGATGTTCACTCTGATGTCCTTTTCTGGCAGGGATGGAATATCAGCGACGATGCAAAACTCCCTAGACAGCGCCACAGACAGCTGGGGCATCAAGGTGGAGCGCGTCGAAGTGTGAGTGATCACATGTCGACAGCTGTACCACCTTCGCGGTTAGCTCACGCACGACATGCACCCTAAGCGTGTGCGTGGAAGCTCGCGGAGGAAGTGTTCCACATCGCTGGATGACGGCTCAGCCTTCGGCCGCCCACAGCCCAGCCCTGCTCCAGATGCTGGGAAAATACATGCATGGTCTGGGAGACACTGTATTCGCGTATTATGGCCGCCGAGAGAGCAGTTCAGGGCCGTTCCGATGTTAACAGGAGACACGTGCCGCGTCTCCTGCCGTGTGGGCGTGCTATCATGGACAGGAAGGAGGCGACATGCCTCGGCCGCTGACGTGCTTCGTCTCGGCCGCCGACGTGTATCGCCTCGGCCGCCGACGTGTGTCGCCTCGGCCGCCGACGTGTGTCGCCTCGGACGCTGACGTGTTCCGTCTCGGCTGCTGACGTGTTCCGTCTCGGCCGCCGACGTGTTCCGCCTTGGCCGCTGACGTGTGTCGCCTCGGACGCTGACGTGTATCGCCTCGGCCGCCGACGTGTATCGCCTCGGCCGCCGACGTGTGTCGCCTCGGCCGCCGACGTGTGTCGTCTCGGCCGCCGACGTGTATCGCCTCGGCCGCCGACGTGTGTCGCCTCGGCCGCCGACGTGTGTCGCCTCGGCCGCCGACGTGTGTCGCCTCGGCCGCCGACGTGTGTTGCCTCGGCCGCCGACGTGTATCGCCTCGGCCGCCGATGTGTGTCGCCTCGGACGCTGACGTGTTCCGTCTCGGCTGCTGACGTGTTCCGTCTCGGCCGCCGACGTGTTCCGCCTTGGCCGCTGACGTGTGTTGCCTCGGCCGCCGACGTGTGTCGCCTCGGACGCTGACGTGTTTCGCCTCGGACGCTGACGTGTTCCGCCTCGGCTGCTGACGTGTGTCGCCTCAGCCGCTGACGTGTGTCGCCTCAGCCGTTAACTTGCGGACGTGTCCCGCTGGCAGGAAGGACGTGCGCCTGCCGGTGCAGCTGCAGCGCGCCATGGCCGCTGAGGCCGAGGCGACCCGCGAGGCGCGCGCCAAGATCATCGCCGCCGAGGGCGAGAGCAAGTCATCGCGTGCCCTCAAGGAGGCGGCCGACGTCATGAAGGACTCGCCTTCAGCGCTGCAGCTGCGGTACCTGCAGGTCAGTGGCCTCTGCCGGCACACCAGCATACAGACTTTGTCGTTGGTTGCTAGTCGACGTGGCGCATATAAGTGTGTCAGACCCGCTGCCGCCGGCCTGACGTGTTTCTGTGGAGATCGGTAAAGGCCTTATTGGTTTGCCCTTTTGCACTAAAAAGCCAGTAAGCGAGAACGCCGCTTTTGAGCCTGATTTTGCTGCCGTGCCATACCAGCAATGTAGGCGCCTCGCTCCATGAAGCGAGGCGCCTGATGATTTGGACACCACAGATGCAAATAATGACGTCTGAATCGCCCCTGACCCCTTGACTGAGTCGTACCTCCAAAGCCCTTCCACTCGAGGGAAGCCCTGACACGCCGCGCCCCACCCCGCAGACTCTGAACTCGATATCGGCTGAGAAGAACTCGACCATCATCTTCCCGCTGCCGATCGACTTCATGTCGCAATTCGTCAATAAATAGGACCGGGCGGCGCGGCGGCCGCGGCCGAGGCCGGTCGACCGCCGCAGCTTGGTCGCTCGCGAGCGGCAGTGAGCGCCCGGCGGCCGGAGCCAGCCGCAGCGCTGCCGAGGTCCGCCGCGGCCTCCCCGCCCGCTGGCCGGCGCATCTGTGATAAGGGCCGTCGCGCCCGATGTCGTCCGATGGCGCTCCGACCCCCACCCCGCCGCCGGCCGACGCCCCGTGGCAGTGCAGCGCCGGGCCGTCCGTGTCACCGCACCGGCCCTCCGGCCCGCACCGTCAGTGTACATTGTTGTATCATCGCTGTCCGGTGTAAAGAATCTCACAAGCCTGGAGAGCTTTGCCATCCATGGGTTTAACCTAGTCCAGGCGACACCAGGAGCTGGGGAGTGTCCACTATCTTCACGCGGGGGGTTGGTGCTGTACTAGTCACTGAGAAGCTGCGATGCTCATCAGAGAACGCGCGTTATGCCTTCAAGTTTGTCGCGGGCCGGAAGTTTATGGCCACGTACTCTGTTTCTTCCGGATATCGGACTCTTCGGCGGCACCCAGGGCCTGCTCATAGGCGTCAGCAGTCCCCGATGCCACCCCTTCTGGAGGAAGGAGAGTGGAGAGTACGGGACGCACTGTAAGCTTAATGTGCGATGACCGGTGTCTGACCGCTTGCTGCGTCTGGCGGGACAGTGAGTCAATCACTTACCTCCGATTGACCTGTCAAGAGTATTTCCCGAGCCTGAACAGCAAGTCAAGGCATTGACTCGCGCCACGAAGTCGCGTGCGCACCGTCCTACGCTGAGTCCAGCCAGTTTCCGCCGTGGTGGACTCCTGAGCCTTCCTCAGGAGGACGCGTCAGTCCTCATGACACAGCTCCGGGCCAATCAGGCGTCCGATGCGCTCAGGGCTCGAGAGGCGCGACGCCTGTGTGAACGGCGTCTTTCTGAAGCGTCTGACTGCAGAGGCGACCCTCGGCCGCCCAGTGTCTGGCCCGCCGCTGGAGCGTGGCGTCGGCCCCTCCGAAGTGTCTGACTGCAGAGGCGACCCTCGGCCGCTCAGTGTCTGGCCCGCCGCTGGAGCGTGGCGTCGGCCCCTCCGAAGTGTCTGACTGCAGAGGTGACCCTCGGCCGCCCAGTGTCTGGCCCGCCGCTGGAGCGTGGCGTCGGCCCCTCCGAAGTGTCTGACTGCAGAGGCGACCCTCGGCCGCCCAGTGTCGGGCCGCCGCTGGAGCGTGGCGTCGGCCCGTCTCGCTCGCGCTGGGCGGCCAGACGCCGTCCGCGCTTAGCAATCACCGACCACTGTCGTCGGCAGCTCGACACAATCAGCGATGGGAGGCTTTGCCGGCCAGCTTCCCCGGCCGGTCGGAGAGATCGCGGTGTTCTCGATGGCGCCTGCGGCGGAGCAGTGTTTTGCTTCTGGTAATGGCAGGCTGCGTTGTGAAAGTTCGAACCGCACAGCTGCACAGGGTCATTTCTCTGCGGACCTTGCGGTGTTGTGCACACCTCGGCCTCGATAGGCTAGCGCGAATCTCTGACAGCAATTCACGAGCAAAACGCACTTGTTCTGCTTCTGAGCAGGGCATCCAGAAAGAGCCCAGGGGGCTTGTGTTGTCTGCCAATAGCGCACAACACATCGAATCGCGCGCCAACTGCGCATATTTGCAGCCCCGACCCAAGTGACAAGCATGGCGGACGACACTCGTCCGTAAAACCAAAGGCGCACGCACACCGTGGTCAATGGCGCGTGGCGAATTGACCACAACTTCGATCTCTTCGTCGGTACTTATCGGATACGCATTAGTTGTCGCAGAACAGTTGGCGGCCATGAGCCGACCTTCTTCATCGACACACGTGGGCGATCAATGTTCCTGGATAAACCGCGGCCATTAGGCTGGCTTGTTTGTCCACGCATGAGACATGCATATACACAAACACGCACGCGATCAATGTCACTGTCACATAGCGTTTCGACTGGTGGCTAATAACAATCGCCGAATGTACTGCATTTATTTCCGCATATTTAAGTAAAACGCCGTCTGTCTCCGCTAGAGCCAGGTCACATGGTAACGGGGCAAGATAAAAAAATGTCATGGGTGTGAGCCGAAACCCCGTGCGTGTAGCTCGGGGGAGCGTCGTAGGATTATCGATCGGTATTTTGGCACAGTGCAATCTCACCGTTTGCCGTTATCGTTGTTCGTGTACCGATGTACGTGGCAAATAAAAGCGCGCCGCAATGGTCATTGGCGTCGTTTCTGTCGTCCCGATGAGCTGCGAGCAGCACTATCTCGTGCAGACAAGAGGCATGACGGTACTAAACACGACACGGGCGCGTCGAAGGTCAGGCATTGGACGGAGGTGCCGCGCCGCTCTGCCAGTCACAGTCGCCCGCCGGCAGGCCGGCGCGATTATTTTGTCCCTGGCGGCGGTCCAAGCAGGATTGGGGCGCGCATTGGGCGTGCAATCGGCAGCGCGGTTGTCTGGCGCACCCAGCGACCACCGGCCTCTGAGGCCGCGGCCCGCTCGGTCCTCTGGCGACCGGTGTCCACACCTTCCGACCCGCTCTGGTCTGAGGTGGCCAATCACGTCACACCTGTCGGCCCGCTCTGACCTTAGGTGGTCGATCATGTTACACCTGCCGGCCCGCTCTGGCCAGATGAGGTAGTCGCCCCCCCCCCCCCCCCCCTCCTCCCCAGCCCGCTCTTGCCTAATAAGTCGATACCCCTCCCCCAAACACACATACCGTGACCCCACGGCCACTGAGAGCCGCACGCCACTGTCACGCGAGGGGACGGCCTCCTCTCACTTGGCCCGGCCCCCGTGACATGAGTCGGCCGAGCCCTCATGTCTGGTCGCCAGCTGTGGCCGGCATCCCTACCCATCCCGGCCCGCTGTGGCCGGCACCCCCACCCCTCCCGACAGCTGTGGCCGGCACCTCCAGCCTTCCCAGCCCACCTCCCGCCCGCCCCCCTGTGATTGGCAGCCTCACACCTTTCGATCCGCTGTGGCCAGCACCTCCACCCCTCCCGGCCTACTGTGGCCGGCACCTCCACCCCTCCCGACCGCTGTCGCCGGCAACTCCAGCCCTTCCAGCACACCTCCCGCCCCTCTGTGATTGGCAGCCCACATCTTTCGATCCGCTGTGGCCAGCACCTCCACCCCTCCCGGCCCCCTGTGATCAGCACCTCCAGCCCTCCCCGCCCCCTGTGGTCAGCACCTTCACCCCTCCCGGCCCGCTGTGACCGGCACCCCTCCCTCGTCCCTTGTGATCAGCACCTTCACCCCTCCCGGCCCCCCGGCTGTGACTGGAAGCAGACGGCTCTAATCACGCCAGCTCAGCACCGGCTAACGATGCTGTCGAGGGACTGGGACGTCGGACAATCCCGTCAGTATCGCGGCACTCGTTTGTCCCACCCCCTGGTGCGATGGTGACGGTTCACGATACAGCCACGCGTTGCTGAATCTCACGGTTACCTACGGCTTCGCCTCACAAGCGCTCGATTTTTGACTGATCGTGCATTGTGCATGATCCGGCGTTGGCACAGCCATTACATATCGTGGTACCATAGCAAGCCCACACGTGACAGGACAACACGTACCACAGACATTGCAAAAACATTCAAAGGCAAAAAGGACATTCCACTGACGCATCTCTATCAGGCGCGCTCAAACCTGCATGGCATTTATTAACCCCATGGGCTATGGAGAAAGGCTGTCACCTGTCGCGATGCTAGCGTCGGACCGCTCTGAAGTTGAGGACCTCTAGCCTCATCTTCAATCCTCTCCACTTACGTCCGCGGACTCGTGGAACACGTCAGCAGGTATGAGGCGCAAACTATCTCTGTCAAAAGGCTCACATATTTGTATATGATGACGTATCTGGGAGTGCATGTGAAAACGGACTTCACCTGTCATTGAACTACTGAAGCTTCTTATACATGGAAATGACACCATGGCGTGCGGTGGGCGGCAGTGTTCCAGTGGTGGCTCTCGAAAGCAAACGAAACCAAGCTCAATCATAGAGAATCTTTGTTGTCTTGCATGTTAAATATATGACACAATACAAAACCATGCGGTCAGAACAATGCAAAACTGAGTGCAATGAGACTAATACGCCCGTGACACGAATATACACTCCTCTTTGTTGCGCAAGTAATGTTGCAAACGCCAGGCATCCGTGCAGGCGCCGCACAACTGGTGTATAGCACATTCCAGGGCGAAGTTTGGTACCCAGCCTGAAGTTTCTGTTTCCCTGTATTCCGCGTACCTACAAAACACGGGCGTGCCGTGTGGCGCCGAGAGCTCATGTGAGCGCGTCACATCCCGTGCGTCACGCAGCTGTCAGTGCCGCCGAGCGGCGGTGGCCACTCCCACACAGCTAGTCGACAGACGGCCATCGGCAGCCGCTGACGAAGATGAGGGCTCTGGGACGGACCGACTCCCGGTCACGTCGCGGCAGCACTGACGGTCGTGTCGCCCGTGGCCGCCCACCACCCCGCCAGCACGCCACCCACCGCCTCGCAACACGTCCCACAGTCCTAAAACCCAGCCGGCCGCCTCGCGACACTGTCTGCGGCCGGACAACACGTCCGGCCGCCTCGCAACACGTCCGGCCGCCTCAGAACACGTCGAGCCGCTTGCTGCCGGTGCGCTGCCGCTTCTCGGCCTGGATGCTGCGCTCGGTGGAACGCAGACCCGCTAGCCGCTGGCGCTGGCCGTCCAGCCGCGCGCGCAGGTCAGCGCCCAGCGCGCCGCCAGCGTTACGTCGCCAGCCGGCCTCGAGGCGCGCGATGTGTCGCTCCACGTCCCGGATCTGCTCGCCGACGCGCAGGTCACGCAGGTTGAGCTCGGCTCGAGAGGCGGAACGTACCGGGCCGTCCTCCGCCGCCGGCTCCGATCCTGCCACACGCGCCGCCAGTCAGCGGATGTCACCAGGTCACGACGTCACCTGACGTCAGGTTACTTCCCACCTGCGTCAGTGCCAGCGGTCATCATCCACTGCGCGCTGGTGGGACCGGAATCAAACTGCATGATCCACTGTGTGCGGAATTAAACTGCATGAAGCTTGCATACATCCAGTGCATTCCTGGCAATTGTCGCCGTTGGTACCGCGGGGAGATCGACCACTGCGACGCCGCCAGCCGCCGCCTTCGCTACTACCTGGTGCCCGCCCGACGGCATTCCTCCGGCATCGATCCAGCTCATGTCCACAGTCAACAGAACGGCCAGGCGCGTTCCACTTAAGGCGAATGATGCCATCCGTTAGGATCGCTTTGTCGGTGGTGTGCGGCAGGCTGCCTACACAGCACCGGCCACGGGCTGGCATGACCATCGACCAAGCACGCGTCACGTGTCGCCGCGCCGCGTCAATACGCGCCTCCAGCGCCGACCACCGTCACGCCACGGCGCCACAAAGCGTGGCCAGCCGCACAGCGCCAGCCGTCGCGCGGCACGCGACATGAGTCGGGTGGAACGCGAAAACGGTTGGCGAGACGGGCGGAGGGACCGCGCCTCGGCACGCTCGCCCTCCTCCCATCGTCCCCGGGCCGGCCAGTGGACGACCCGAGAAGGATGGGAGGACATCGCTGGCGATCAGAGCTCCCATTTCCGCCGCTGGGATTAGCGGATCGGTCCCGTCTGACAGCGATAGCCTTACGATTCCACGCGGCGCAGCAGACACGACCGTCTGCGCCACTGGTTGACACGGAGTTTTGCTTTTTGCCCGACACTCGCCTGCAGCTGTGCCGGAGCTGTACTCTACGAAGCATGCGAAAGAAACCCATAATCCTATGTGTCACAGGGGAAGGGATGGAAACTCCCACACTGTACCCGCATCACGTGGAAATCCCAGCCGTTCCCTCCTCCGTCATGTGAGATCCCGGCCGCTCTCCTCACACTCAGGCGAGATCCCGGCCGTTCTCTCCCCCTCCGACGGAGATCCCGGCCGTTCTCTCCCCCCCCCCTCGATGGATATCCCGGCTGTTCTCTCCCCCCTCCGACGGAGATCCCGGTCGTTCTCTCCCCCCTCTGGTGGAGATCCCGGCCGTCCTCCCCCCCCCCCTCTGGTGGAGATCCCGGTCGTTCTCTCCCCCCTCTGGTGGAGATCCCGGCCGTCCTCTCTCTCCTCCGACGGAGATCCCGGCCGCTCTCGGCCAGCCTCACTGCCGCTCTCCACTGACCGTGGTCAGGCGTCCCGGTGGCGCGGTTGATCACGTCGAACATGGCGGCGTGCCCCCGGCCGGGCCGCTGCGCCCTCCGGCCGATCTTCTCCTGGCGGCGCTGCTCGCGCTCCAGGCGGCGCTCCACGGTCAGCAGACAGCCGGCGCCGCCCTCCCGCAGCGCCATGCAGTGATCTGTGGCAGCGGCCGGGCCAGGGCCGGCGTCGCTGAGCCGGCCGGGGGAAGGACGGGGGAGGGACGACAGCCGCAAGCCGCGACGGGCCACACACAGCCCACCGGCCACCTGTCGCCGACGCGACGCGACATCCGCTGGTGGCGGCTCAGGCGGCGCCGGCTGGGTCACGCGGTGGTGACGGGCGTTGGGCTCGGAGGCACGGCCCCATCGAGAACTGGTTCCGAGGATATGACACGTGGATTCCGCCCAGTATGTGTACACATGCTGAGTTGAATGTTCGCAATTATTGCGTAAATGGCGTGGGCGAACTATCTCACTTTCATATGGGACGAAACAGAGGCGTAGCAGTGAGAGCACCACAAACCGTCACAGTAAATTCAGTGTCCCAAACCATTAAATCTACATTATTTTGGCCGATCTTGTTCGATCAGAACAACGCTTCCCCACTCCATGTGCACGACATTCGAGGGTACGACATGCGCAGAAAATGACATCCGTGCGCGAAACATACACGCACACATCATGCAAGAATTCCTTTCAGTGTACGCTGGCAGTGCAGCCGACCAGTGCAATGCAAAATGTTCAATGCAATTGCACGTTCAATGCAAAATGCAGTGCAACATGTTCAATGCACCACAGCGTCATCAGTCGGCATCAGGAGCCGGCGGCAGCGGCGGCACTCACCGAGAGAGCGGCCGGCCGGGTAGACGCGCGCCTCGACCGGCTCGACCCGGCCGTCGGCCAGCGGGCCCAGCCCGGTGCCTGTCACGTAGCCCATCTGGCGCAGCAGCCGCGAACCCACGCCCTGCACGCGCCGACGCAAAGAGATGAGATCGCGTGTCATTGGCTGCAGTTCGAGACGGCAACAGACGACAGACGGGGCGCCGCGAGGGGACGGTGTGGACACGTGCAGCCGGCCACGGCATGGGTCATGTAAGCACACGCGGCGGTCGTGTCCGGTCGGGGCAGGTCATGCTGGACGGACAGGTCGGCCTCACGGGAACAGGCCACATCATCGTCCAGCGCACGAGCGCATGGAAAGGGCGACTCGATCCCGAGCCATCAGTATCAGCTGCTGGGCGGCCCGGATCGGCTCGTACGGTCACCGCACGGACCCATCACAGGGCCCCGACTGTCAGAAGGCTGACGCAGCGTATGGATCGCGAACAACCGCAGCCAGACAATGGGCGTAAGCATCACAAGCTCATGTGGGCTCTCCTCGTACAAAAGCCTTCTGTCCGACCTTAAAAGTCAGTTCCTTCACTTACTATTTTATACACTTAAGACCTACTTTGCCAGTAACCGTTTCACTGATAAAATATTCAGCTCTCCGCAGTCACTCGACTTGGCAGCCAACGGGCGGCCTCCCAGCGCGGGACTCGCCTTGGTGTGCTTCTCCCAGGAGCCGAGCTGGCCCGTGGAGGCGATGTCCTCCCAGGTGACACGCGGGCAGAACTCTGCCTCCTCCGGGTCCGGGTCGCCGGCGGACCGAGGCTCCGGCGCGCTCCCGTCCTCGCTGTCCGAGCTGCTGACGTCCCCGCCGCCAGTCACCAGCGACAATGACCGGTCAGCGGCGGGCAGGGCGGCCGGCGATGGCCGGGGTACACACGACACGGGCTGGGCCTGGTGCCTCAGCATTCCAGCCTACAGGCCGGGGCTCTCGCTTAATCATAAGAACGAGCGCCGTGCAGCGGTGCAATGCAATCGCCAACGACTGCATAATTGAAGGTTGACTCGGGCTCTGCCGCCAGATGGCATGATACGCGGCACGACACAGTACGTCTGTACGACTCATTTTGTCGCACGGCTGAATAATACACGAACCTGGAAACACGACACTACACACAGAACACCTGCAGGTATCCGCCCCTGAACACACCGAACATGTGGCCTTCCCCTCCGTACCCTTGTCCGGGCTGGGCTCCGGGCAGCGGCACCAGCTCGGCAAGCGGCACCTGGCGGTGGCGACCGTCGCCGCCGAGCCGGACGGCCGCCTGCTCCGTCTCCGGCTCCAGCGAGAGGAGGGCAGCGCGCTGCCAGAGCCCGCTGTCGGCGTCGCGGCGCACCAGCACGGCGGCGCCCGGCGACAGACCGGACACGGCGTCACTGGCCACACAGAGAACGCACGCCTTACACGCTGACTGTGGGTGGGGGGCATACGGGATGACAGGCTGCCTGGTGATGGGGGCGACAGAGGCTCGGCAGAACAATGGAGAGGAAGGGGCTTCATCGGGAGCAGACTGGCAGGTTTACCGCCCAGCGATTGGGTAGCTTTGCACTGGAGCTTGTAGGGGCGGAGTATCGTCGCGATGATCATTCAGGATCACCGCGGTTATTACCATCTAGGAGGAGCGGGAGGGCGGGGCTTCACTACTGTAGACATATCAACTCAGTCTTATAACCGCGGAACAAGAGACCTCATGAACACTTGAGCTCGATCGTTCGTTACCTGACGTCAGCACCGTTACAAAACGGCCAGTCGAGACGCGGCACGCCTTCCGCATATGACGGCTACGGCCTCGCTCTAACCTGTACTCCCTGATGTCGCACACGGAAACGAGGTGGCCGTGAGAGAACCGACATTCATCCCCGTAGTCGCAGGTGTGGCGCATGTAGTACTTGCAGGGCTGCATGACTCGCTGCGTGGGATGGCTGAATAATACCCGGACCTGAAAACGGAAACCTTGTACAGAGCACCACACAAATACGCCGTACTTCCAGGTAGCAAAATCGATGGGGTGGCAATCGATTGCGTCTTGCCTGTCTGTTGGGCGTTCCTTGTGTGCGGGGCCCAGTTCTATGAGGAACAGCTACTCATTGCATGAACTACCGCTAATGAATAGTGTTGAATCGACGGGCTACAAAACGTGCCCACCAGTAAACACGTACATTAGTTTGAGTGATGACAAGTTCGCAAACTATATCGACTAGCCCGGCATGGCAAACAGTACTTTGGCACTAGTGTTACCAGCGACCACGTTATTCACATCGATCTAAGTCATAAACGGGGCTCGCTGGTGATTAATAGACTAGCGTGGGCCGTTTCTCCTCGAGGGACCGATTTGCCGGCAATGTATCTCGCTGACAACGAGCAGAACACAATTAATTTTCTGAAAACACGCTGCTTATGGCGTGAAATAGTCGATGACGGCAGCCAGCAACAGCAACGACCCACGACCGGCCAGCCCAGCGTCGTCGCGCCCCACTCAAGTGGCCCACGTTCCGAGCATTCCCCAGGCAGCTGCCGGGCCGGCGTCACCTGATGACGTCACCTTGACGTCATCGGCCGAGAGGGCGTCCTCCAGGCTGGCGTCGTCGACGGCCTCCACAATGGCGGCGTGGTACTCGAGCTGGCCCCAGGCCTGGGTGAAGGGCGCGCTGCACCGGGCGCCGACCAAACCCTGGAGGCTTGCCTGCCGAGGCAGAGCCCGCTGTACACCGCTCACGCGCTGGCCGGGAGGGGCGTCCGTGCACGAGAGAGCTGCACACGGTGTGACACCTCCAATACGTCGGGAGATGGCTCAATCACGTACGCGACATACAGAGTCGAAATGAACTTCCTAACACGCGCATGAAACCTGGCGACGACACGCTGTCATCCTGCTAGTTATGCATCATCCGTCTGCATGTCATATTGACAGAATTGGTAAAGAGGCTATATCAGTGCACCAGCTGTGTGTGACATCACCAGAAAAAAAACATTTGCCATGAGTGTGATTTTGAAAGCTACCTCAGCAGTTATAAAGCTTCAGTTACAATGTACAAAGGCCAAGCATGATTGAGATTTAGACATGAATATATCAAAACACACCTAGCCCATATCGCCTGTCATGAAAACACACTGGGCATAAGACCAATGAACATAAGAACATCCATCAGGAAGCAGCTGATCACGAATTAACTACCGGCACCATATCTCAGGTAACACAATTTTCCTTATATATATATATATATATATATATATATATATATATATTCAAGCGTGAATTACCACCCACAGTCGTCACAATTTATGATCATCCTAAACCCCAATATGTTCGTTTTGTCCTCCTTCGAGAACCAAATGTATTCTGACCACTCAGGTCAGCGTTCTGGAAACGTGACGATTTTTACGCCGCCCGTGACTCCCAGCCGGGCGGCGGCAGCGGCGGCGGCGCCTCGCCTGACCTTCAGCTCCTCGGCAGTCTGCCGCCGCTGGTCGTCAGCGCCCTCTGGCGGCTGTTCAGTGTCGCCATCTGGCGAGTCGGCCTCGGAGCTGGTCAGATCCCGATCGTCGGCCCGCTCCACTGCCGCAATCTCCGACTGAGAACGGATCCAGGGACGTCTCGACACCGGGTGCGACTGGTAGCTGACTGGGCTAGTCTACAGCAGTTTAGAAGCTGGTGACAGTCAGCAGCGGCAAATGTCCCCACCGTTGGGACCTGTGACCACAATATCAGTTTGGATGTTGAATGAATTATGGTAAACCAGCTTCAGTCAGAATGCACGCGTCATTTGGATTGTTTAAGGTGCATTTTAAAAAAAATGTACCTGTGATATGCTCCATCATGCTGTATATGTTAAATATAATGTGAACACACGCACACGCCATCAATTTACCCTAGTTGGCAGAACTACCAAGTGCAACCTAAAATACTGGAGAACAGCCACTTGGCTCCCCATGAAAATCAGTATCATAAATTCGTCATGGCGCCATCTGCCACCAGGGATCAAATGCGACACACTAAACAGCACGTGCATCACTGGCGAGTCATTGGGAGCCAGTCAGGTCAGTCTCCCACCTGAAAAAGAGCCATCTCATCATCCAGAGATCTTGATGCAGCATTGTCTTCCCATCCGTTTGCAGGCTGCTCGGTATGTGGGTCTTCATCTTCATGCTGCTCTGTCAGCTCGATCAGCTCCTTTAAACTTGATGCTAGCTGCTTGAGCTCTTCATTGTCTGGAGTTAGTGTCAATGCAACAGAAACTTGTTCAAGCTGTGGACAATAGTCAATACATCATACAAACCCTGGCCCATGGCAATGTCACATGTAAAGATCATTGGACTTGTGATAGAGGAACAGAGAAGGCTAATTCAAAGAATGACACTAGCTCAACTGCGCTAGGAATGACAATGAAAAAGTTTAACTATCCCATTCCAATCACAGTATTTACGACATCTCTGCAAATGTGGCCACAATTACTTTGTGGTTGAGAAAGCAAACTATTGAAGGCTGGTGAAAATTATGTGAGCATCATTTACATCTAAATGTTGAGCAGCAGCAGGTTTTGGGTACAACCGGCGTAGGCCTCATGCTTACCAAAACAGTCTGAAGTGACTGAATTTGGTGCAGAATCCATATCATACGGGCAACGGGAAATGCACAAGACACTTTCAGCTGATGTAAGATGACGTCACAATGTCCCAAATCCATGCCAGGCGGGATCAGGCGGAACTGGACAGAGCCAAACAGTACTGGACGCGATCAGACGGGATCGGATGGAACCGGATGGAGCGTAATGAGACCAGACCAAATCGGGTGGCGCCGGTCGGATCAGATGGGATCAAACAAGCTAGCAAGTGACCGAGCCAAGCTGGTCGGGATCAGACGACATCGAACGTCGCCGGACGTGATCGGCAGAACCCGGACGGGAAGAGACGGAGCGGAACCAGACGGGACCGGACCAGACGGGAGCGGACCGGACCGCCCGGACCAGACGGGACCAGACCAGACCAGACGGGACTGGACCACACGGGACTGGGTCAGACGGGAACGGACCAGACGGGACCGGACGACCCTGGGTGGAACGCGATGAACCCAGACGGTACCGGGCAAGATCGGAAGAGACCGGTCCGGACCGGGCGAGGTAACACGGGAATGGACAGTGCCGCCCGGGACCTGACTCGGCAGTGCGAGACCGGGCACAGCCGGGCGGAAGGATGGGGCTTGATGGGACTAGAAAAAAAAACTGGACAAAGCTGGGCGGAGCCGAATAGGATCGGCCCAGTCCAGACGGGACCGGGCGGGACCTGACGGTACTGGACGAGACGGGACAGGATGAGACCAAATGAGGTCACATGGGACCAGACGGGACCAGACGGGACTAGACAGAACTACACAGGACCAAACGGGAGTGGCTGGGACTAGACACGACTACACGAGACTGGACGGGACTATTCGGGACTAAACGGGACTAGACGGGACTAGACGGGACCAGACGGGACTAGACGGGACTTGACAGAACCAGACGGAACCTGACGGAACTAGACGGAACTAGACGGGACTAGACGGGACCGGACGGGACCAGACGGGCCCCGCCAGATCCGGCCCGTTCCAGTGTTGGTCCCGTCGGTTCCTGTTCAGTCCCGTCGCTTCCTTTTGATTAGTTCCCTTGCCACTCGATGGCACCCCGTCGCGTGTGGTCCTGTTTGATCTCGTCGGGCTCCACCCAGCCCCACCCGGTCCCAAATCCCAGGTCCCGTCCAGCTCTATCCAGTATCGCCCAGCCCCTTCGAGTCCTGTATATTCCGATCTGGTTTCATTCAGTTCCGTCTGGCCTCATCACACTTCATCCTGTTCCGTCTGGTCTCGCTCTCTTACGCCCGGCTCCATTCGGCCATATCCAGCGCCGTCCGATACCATCTGATCTCGTCCGGTCACGCCTGCTTCTGTCTGGCCATATTTAGCATAATGTGGTCCAGGTTGTTTGCGTCTGGCCTCGTCCGGTTCCGTCAAGTCCTTTCCGGTTCGCACCGGTCATGTCTGATCCAGTTCTGTTCCGGTCGGCCCCGTTCAGTTACGTTCGGTATCGTTCGGTCTTATCTGGTTTCATGCAGTTTCGTCCGGTTCCATCCGGCCGCCTCTGGTCTGGTATCGTCCGGTCTCATCTGGTTTAGTATTGTCCCATCCGGTACCTTTCTTCATGACGTTCCGCTCTGTTCCGTCCTGTCCAGCCGGCTCCGTCTGGTTTTGTCCTGTTCCGTCTGGTTCCGTCCGACTCCGTCCGACTCCGTCCGGTTCCGTCTGGTTCCGTTCTATCATACACGGTTGTTTGCGGTTATGTTAGGTGCCGTCTGATCCTACCCAGTTTGGTTAAGTCTCTTGCAGTCCAGTGCACTCCCGCTATCCAATCGTATCTGGTCCTGTCCAGTTCCGTCCGGTCCCATCCGGTCCCATCAGATCTCGTCTGGTTACATCCGGTACTGTCTCTTCTGGTTCCAACCGGTTCATTCCGGTTTGGTCTGGAGTGGTCCCGTCTGGTCCCGTCTTCCTTGATGATGTTCCATCTGGTTCTGTCCAGTCTGGTTCAGCTCTGTTGGGGTTGTGTGGCCCTGTTTCATCCCACTTTGTTGTGCCTGCTGGGCACCACTTGGATGGTGAGAAGCACCCATGGACTAGCTGGGCTTAGGTGTGCATGTAACCATCACCAGGTTGAAAGTGATTCTGTGGTTTTGTGGCAACATCATGCAATCAGCTGGAAGTGTTAGCAGCTTTTCTTGCCCTCACATAAACAACCAACAGCCACACCCAAACTTCAAGCAAGGGTTTATACAAACTGGGTGAGTGATGGGACTGAAGGAAAATGTCATCTATTGTCATAACATGGCACAAAAAGTAAGATGTACATGCTAGATGCATTCACAACTTCTGGTACATTAACTGTCACCAATATCACATAGTTTGTGCACTTGATTTAGTTGATGCAGCCCATTTCAGGAAGTGTGAAGCCTGCTGTTGGAGATACCAATTTTTGCAGGTGCTGGTGAGTTCTACACCCCATATCAGATGTTTTACACAATACCTCACTTGGGGGTGGTAGATCACTTATATTAGTGCATCCCAGTTTTTTTGCTCATTATTTACGTTTTAAAAAGCCATGGTTGCAACAAACATGACCAATGAGACCCAAAATACAATATCTGTCAGTTGCATATAAAGAAGGCTGTGCTGCCTGGTGAATCTTATCCAGCAAAATAAGGTCATTTTGCTATAAACTGCCTTCACATGCACAGCCTGCTTACGAAAGCTTAGGGATGAAAAGGAAGTCAAATTCGCCACTTGCAACCCCTAATCAGCATTTCACAACCTAGTCCCAGGTGTGTAGTTTCCGGGCTAGCTCCATCGAGTACCTCCCTCGCGCCGTCTACCAGGCTAACGCCTGCTTGCACCTTACCCACCTGCTTTAAGTATTCCCCCAAGCCGTCCCCCGACATAACTAACAACACACCTCAATTACCACTCTCCTGTGAAAAAGCCGCATAGGAAAGGTAAACACGTTCGGTGATTTTCTCTTCACCTTCGCCTAGCCTTATCGTGACGTCACTGGATCCAAGGCTTCAATGCGCTGCGAGTTATCAGGCCTCGGATGTAGTGCTCAGCGGCAGCTGGAACGCTGAAATATTCGTACAGACCATGTAAAAGACATTCAAGAAGAGTGCATATGACAAGCGAGCCGACTACGTCGAGTTTGATGGCAATTATGATGATGTGCTTTGCAATCCTATGCAGCAAACTTAAAAGCTGCAATGACATCAAAAGTGAAGACGCACACATGAGACTTATTCACAATCAGGAGGCATAAACATCGGCCCGTATTCGAACTCAAACACACAAACTGTTCGCGACAGTGTACGGGACCAGCGAGCCCATTGTGTGCTGTCTTAAGTTTATCTCCGGTGCCGGCCGTGCACGGTCCGTACCTCTCAACGGGCCGACAGTGCTTGGTCCTTACTTGTCTGCACAATCATCATGAGTGTCCAGCCACAGATGTTGGGCTCTTGACCATTATGTGCGGTGCTATGTTTGACGCCAAGAGGCATGTGGATAAAATAGCATATAGCCAGACCGAGGTGCAAAGCACAATATGCATCTGTGATGCCGTTCTTTTGGGCTGAAACAAATGCAACTTATGAAGTACTGTCAGTTTCATGGAGCGACAGTGAGGTCCAATTATTATATTTACCCTACAATTGAGAGAGTTTGTCTGGCCACGGCCACTTAAAGGTCGCGATGATATGGACCCCCAGACTGGCAAGTGTGCGAAGTCTCATGGGTATCACGTGCGACCGTGTGAGCTTGGTTCATGACTGGCTGTTTGTTGGTGTCGATTGTCACTTCTTCAGTTCTGCGCGGCAGGGTTTGTGCCTCATAACAAATGATGGCCTTTCATTGTTAACACACTCTTCGTAGAACTGTGCTACTAACTCGCGCAAAAAAGCACAAAAAAATTACAATCAGTACCCAGTACAGGATACTAGCCGGCTCCCGCATACGCACAGGGACAACAGAAGTCTTCCAAAGTTGGGGGAACAGGTGTTTTGGTTACTGCTCTTCAGCCAACGCTCATGGGGCAAATGTTATATTTTAGAAAGTTGGAGGCTTATCTTGAGCTCTCTAGTATCTGCTTTCCATTCATACGCATATTCAACCTCCACTCCGACAGAATTTTAAGGGTTGTTTCGTATATAAGGCCGCAAAGCACGTGATCATGCATGCCGTTCAAATCTACCTGACCGGTTCGAAGATATATGCGTCAACTAGCAACATCTGCTTGTTTCTGATAAGAACGGTGTGTGCATCCGGTGCGGGTCGCCCTAACTTTGCAAATCGCCATTTGCGGACGTCCCGCCAGCAATGAGTGAGACGCAGAGGGTCGACCGGATGCGATAAAAAAAAAACGGACAAGTGCGTCCCACAGCTAGCGGACAGCCATAAACTAGCGCCAGCAAAGGCACAAAGTTGCATTATTTAGTCGCAATTCAAAGTATCTTTCACGGGGCTACCATATTCTGGACACCACGTTACGAGTAGGTCGGTATCAGTTAGCAACGCGTGTTAAAGGGATTATTTGAACAAAACAACTATGTCGTACGATGAGCGATTGATATCGTAAGCTGTTGATGATCCCACAATGAATTCGCCGCGAATGAAGAAAAGCGATTTGAATTGTGCGACGTAACTTTGCATATGACCTCTACATCCGTCTTGTCAGCATTGCGTGATGGATTGTCGGAGTTCGACCGAATACAGTGGATTCCCTAATCGAAAGAATGTGTTGCGATGTTAGCTGTAGTCTTATACCAGTGCCATCAAATTCACGCGGCTATAGCCTTCTGCCATCGCTATCAAATCCACACAGTTTAACTCTTCGCGCGCGAGTAAAAGTAATTTTCCCGGCCTGCCGTGTTCTGGCTATCACACTATGCGCAGGTCGCCCACTACAAGCAATGCACCTTCTAGGGATGATTTACGCCAAGAGATCGTGGCGGATGAGCGGTTACATTGCTGGCCGACAGCGCTCACAAAATCCCATCGCGTGAATCCACAAAATGGCGTGCTCATGGTGACACACGACGCGCACCACCAAACGCATTTCAAATTAAACGACGTGACTTCGTAGGTCGCCGCTGGCGCATTTCCGTCAGCATTGAGGTGGGGCACTCTCGGTGGTTGACCGAATCAATATTTTCACCAAACGGGGAAGTGCGCTGCACTGGCAGCTGATTTTACTCTGCCAGCACACCCTAATGCACACAAACGCACTCTTCGTGCAGGATTATAAGTTTTTTCCCGTGCTGCCGTGTTTTGACCAGTACGTTGCAACATACATTGGTGACTGGTAGTGCGTCAACAATGAAATCATTTGCACGTGGTGGACCCTCCGTACACAACTAATTGTATTTCAGCCTAGACGACGTCAATTTTCTCAACGCCGGTTTGGACGATGTAAATTTTCTAAAGGCCAATTCGCTTGGCCAGAGCTGTTGAGCGGGGAACCCTGTCGGGCTATCCACGGAATAAAAAAGATACCGTAACCGTACAGGTGGGATGTGTTCACAGCTGAGAACGCCGTAGCGAGGCTATCGAGTGCGTACACTCACACTCTTTGCGAGCGGTTATATGGATTTTTCCTGGCCACCGTATTCTGTCCATCATGTTATCGACAGGCCGTCGGCCGAAGGTCACGTGGGCCGAAGAGCGATTTCTATTGTCGGCAAAAAATGCTCCCACAACGACATCGTGTGCACAGGCTGTCACGCTATGCGCACGACTAAATGTCTAAATCTATCGTCATAATTTTGCAAATCCCAGGTGCGGCACGGCGCCAGCATTCCGTAAGACGCCGTCAGAAGGCCCATCGAAGAAGGAAACCCGAATCGGAGAAGCTTGCTGTGCTGGCAGCTAATAGCCTTACACAAGCGATATTGAATGCACGCATGCCAGGTCGCACGATGGGCATTATACGTTGCCGGCTGGCAGCGATCCCACAATGACATAGTTTGCACATAGTTGCACCCGCCACTCGCGACTGAAAGTATTTACATTTGGTCACCGTAAATTTGCAAATGGCTGTCGCCGGCATGCCCAAGCATCGGGAGATACGCTGTAGGAGTGTCGACCAAGTAAAATTCAACCTGGATCAGGCGAGTGTATTCATTGGCAGCTTATTGCCCTAGTCAGCACCATCGAATGCACACATGTGCATCTTTGTTGGCCGACATAAGCAATGCGTGTAACGCTTCGGTCTTCAGAGCGTTGTTCTTCCTTTCACCAACGTCCATCAGAGAACGGCAGTGAAAAGCTGGTTATGTTCGGTCCGAGGTCCCCTTCAAGCAATGCCGCGTCACGACATTGGTGGTCGGGTCGCGTCCGCTTCTCTCTGACCGTCACCGCCGTCTGACGCTACGCTGGATGCATCAGACTATAAACGGAGGGCCCGCTGGGGGGCGCCGGCGTTCGGCCTCCAAACACTGGGGATAGGGCGTTCTAGAACCTTCCGCGTTATGCAATACTAATGCGCATGTAAGCCCGCATGAAGCAGCGGCAGAGGCGCGCTATGCTGCAACCTTTGCAAAAAGCAAAGACGGCTATGAGTAATTGCATCCGGCTTATCTAATAATTAGCATACAGGGTAATGCGGGCTGACGCGTTGACAATGGCGCAGTACTGCCGCAGTTGCACGTACTGCCGTGGTTACACACTTACACGACTTACACGTTACATACGCCGTAAATGGTGATTTCAACAAAATTGGTAATTATGGCCCGATGGCTGATGTTCCTTGCCGTCCGATAGTCCTCCGACAATAGCATTGCGCAAACGTGATGGCACCCGCCGAGCGTAATAATAGAAGGGACCAAGTAACTACTTCGAGAAAACTACCAGCAGAGACCTATCCCTGATAACAGTGTGATGAATTCTATGCTGCAACTTAGCAAATCGCCGTTGCGTCTGGTCGCCAGCCTTCATTGAGATGCTGTGGAAATGGCGGTCGAATAAAATCGAAACCAGACTCGGACATAACTTATGTCCGAGTCTGGTTTTGCAGACTCGGACTGGTTTTGAACATTCTATTTGCAGTTAATAGTCCTACTAGCTAAGTAAAATACTTACATTCTCGCCTTTCATGCGGATTATAGGCGTATTTCACGGGCCGTCGTATTCTGGGCATTACGTTGCTGGTCGGACGGCCACCCTTTGTAGTGCGCTGTAAAGGGGTGACTTGAACGAAAAAGGTCTTGTGGTTCGAAGAGCCACTTACATGGCATTAACAAAGTATCGTTGTGCCTTTGCAAAAGACCGCTGCGGTCGGCCCTGCATGTACTGAGAGATACGCTGTCGCGGTTTCGACCGATACAGATGATACAGAAAGGATTATTTGAACAAAGACGTTATGTTTTCCTCTGAGCAAATTACATTCCTGTCGACATTTCTGCTGAAATTAAATGACGGGCCAAAGTATGTAAGCTGCAAATCCGTTGCACAATACAAATTGTATTTGACTAAGATGCCATGTTATTGCAAATCACCGCTGCGGCCGGGAAGCGAACGTCGCGAGAGGTTTGGCGAAGAGTCGACGGAATAAAACGAATGCCGGAATCGGGCAACTGGGTACTGGAAGCTGATAGCGGTATATCAGCGGCATTAAATGCATACACATTCTTCGTGCGTGCTTATACGTATTTGTCGTGTGCCGCCACACGATAATCCCTCAACACGCACCTGGGGACTGATCCGCGAGGCGTGCGCTTGGCGTTCGGGTGGCAGCATCCATCTGGGGGGCACTTCGATCCAATTATAGGCTCTCGCATACAGCCTGGCCCAGACAAATGGGCTGCCACGAGGATGCAGGATCAAACTGGAGGTAGGATGAAAGGGGGATGAGAATCTCGAGCGCGAGTGCCGTAATATGTTCATCCACGGGAGGGTCGGCGACTTTGCCACTCCAGGCGCAGATGGCGTTTTGGCTTCCTGGCGAAATAGTGTGTCGTGGCCTGAAAGCATGGGAGAAGAGCTGCTATGGATATGACGACCTGATTATGCGCTGGCGTGCAATGTTGTATGATTGTGCGTGCGAAACCGTGTGGAGAGCGAGGTAGATAACACTAAATGCTTCATATGAATGGAAAAGAGAAGCAGTTTTAGAAAAATCATGGCTTTCGTTGAAAATGTTAACGGTGTAAGCACTGTTACGCAAGTGATACTCAACGTATTTACCGAACACACTGCGTTATGCAGTTCTAACAGCCAATTACCGGTCGTGCGCTTCGTTCAAAGCAATGTTACGAAGAAACTCAAAGTATAACTCAGGCATGGAGACACAGCAATGCCTAATCTAGCTATCCGCCGCATTTTTAGCGTTATGATGATCTTAGTAAACTATGACATAGAGTAAACAGTAATTAAAAGTGATATGAGCTTGAATACAACCAGGTAACTAGTTTCGCATACCGAGAAGGCCACCCAGGCAGCGACCCTTGTACGGCATGAAACGGTGTAAGGCATTGACGGCGCCAAACCATTGCCTGCTTTGCTAAGCCAGCGTGCCAAACAAATCTAGTGGTAAATTTTCAGTTGTACTGGAAAGGTGTGGTTTTGCATTAGGCACGATGAAACTTCAAGTGGAGCCCCGTTTCATTAGAATTCCAGACAATGTCTGAGAAGGCCGTAAATTAAGAGTGTTCGAGTGAAAATTTCTGCTGCATTTGTGCCGCATAAGTGACATTTCCGAGTCCTGGCTGCATGAAATCGCATTATGTGTAAAGAGCATGATTCTGGCTGGAGCCCGCGGGGCTCGAACCTGTGACAGATAATAGAAATACTCAAAATCGGAGAACTACAGAAATACAGCCTGTTGGACCCGTTGGTGGAGACCCGGTTCTGGGCAGGTGAGATGACCAGCACAGTTTGTGGAACTAATTGGCGAGATAAGAAGTTGATCGAGCTACTTGCCAAGCTATACAAGTAGTAGTTTTTCGAGCTGTTGTGTTCGAGCTGACTTAATACCCAGGGGCGCTAATCATCAGTTATGGGCCATTTGGTGCAAGATCCCATGTCGGTGTAGGTGTACTTTCCTACCTAACATTAGAAAAAATCATTGCACACCATTTGTCGTGTTCAAGGCGGCACATATCGTAAATCATCTCAAAACAGGTAGAATCATGCTCTTACCTTCGAATTTCAATAACTTCGATGGCGAGCTCCCGAGCGCCGCGCGCACCGCACTGCCTGGACTCCCCAGCGCCGTTTCTGCGTTGCCGTTGCGTAAATACAATATTTCTGCTTACCAAGAACTCTACAAAATGTATGGGACCAAGGTAAACCATTCGTCGTGTTTAAGGCGGAACATATCGTAAACAATTTCAAAACAGATAGAATCATGCTCCTAAATATGGTTTATAGTTATAGTATGGTTTATATAGTATAGTTTATAGTTATAGTTATGGTTTATAGTATGGTTTGCAGTTAATATGGTTTATATGGTAAATATGGTTATGGTAAATATGGTTTATGCTTAGTAAATATTCGTATGGTTCGCAGTTAGGTTATGGTTGTCCTGCCTTAAACATGATGAATGGTTTACTTTGGTCCCGTACATTTTGTACAGTTCTTGGTACGCAGAAATATTGTCTACGCAACGGCAACGCGGAAACGGCGCTGGGGAGTCCAGGCGGTGCGGTGCGCGCGGCTCGGGGGCCCGCCATCGAAGTTATTGAAATTCGAAGGTAGGAGCATGATTCTACCTGTTTTGAGATTATTTACGATATGTCATGCCTTAAACACGACAAATGGTGTACAATGATTTTTTCTAACGTTAGGTAGGAAAGTACACCCTGACCCCCAAGTTTCCATTAAATGTCCCAAAAAAGCATTAGATGAGTTGCCCCAGTTAAAAAATTTTACCCTCAAGTTTTTCCAACCCACCACCATTATCATTCCTTGCTTCAGTCTTGCCCAAATGAAATCTTGTTAAAATATGTTTCATGTTGCAGACTGGGTAATTCTGGCATTATTCCCAATGCTTTCCAGTAAGTTGTGAATAATGTTAAACCTCTATCTTTATCAGTACATTTTGGGTGTAGAGCAATGGCTTCAATTTTGTTATGTTGCATTTGCAGCATAAGTCTACTATACTTGGTCATTCTACCATGTTCTAAGCAGTTGAAAGGGACAAGCAGCTGAAGATGGCCTTGAGTGGGAAGGATGCCTTGATACTTGGTTGCATATACAAAAGTCCATTAGGCAATATCCAAGATAGTGTGTGCCCATTGGAAGACCTTGTTCATAGAGCATGTAGAGCTCAGTTTTCTCACTTGATGGTTGTAGGCAACATTAACTTGCCTCAGATTGGCTGGGGAACAGAGCATTCATCAGTTCCAAAGAGGCAACCACTGAAAGGTACCATCCAGGGCTGTTTTGTTTTTTTGTTCCAGCATGTCCAGCAGTCACGATGCTGCCAGGTGGGTGAAGGTCTAAGCATTCTGGACCTCATTTTCACAAATGAAGAGAGGATGGTGAATCAAATTGCATACTTCATTGGCCTGAGTAACAGTGCCCATATGGCTATCAGGCGCTTTTTGGTCTGCTTCTCTGGGCTGCAAACTCCTCATCCCAGCCAGCTAACAGACACAAATTATGAGCATCTGGCAGACACCCTCAGGTTAATGGACTGGTCCCTGATGGAGAACCTGAGCCTCAAGGATGCTTACAAGTTCTGCAAGGAGAGAATCACCAGGACTACTGAGGTTTGCTCCATCAGGAGGACTAAACCTAAGAAGAACTGGTACATGAACCCAAGGGTCATGCAGCTAAAGAAGACTAAGGAAAGACTGTGGTTGTGGGGTGCCACAATGGCCTTGGGAAGTTGACTGGAAACCTTCGGAAAGAGCATGGGATGAAATTAGTAGCAGACCCCAAAAGAAACTCAAAAGCCTTTTGAAGGTATGCCAACTCAAGACTGCACACAAAATGCAGGGTAGAAGATCTTCTTGACTATGCTGGAATGTTCACCAGTTGCAATGAAGGAAAGGCCAATGTCCTCCATAAATTATTCGCACGTTTTTTACGGACGAGTGGACTAGTGCTACATCTATGTTGCCTTGCATCTTTACTGGACCATTTATGGGTGACGTGGACATCTCTACCCAGGCAGTGGCAAATAAATTGGTTGCTCTGAAGACCTCGAGCGCCCCTGGGCCAGACGATGTCCACCCAAGGCTTCTTCGTGAGTCCGCAGACGTCCTGGCAGTACCCTTTTGCACGCTTTTCCGAAAAATGTTGGCATCCGGAAGGCTCCCCCAGGAGTGGAAGCTCGGCGAGGTAGTCCTGACCTTTAAGAAAGGTAACCGGCAGTCCCCAGCGAGTCCAGTCGGTCTTATTGCCATTCCCTCCAAGATACTCGAATCTTTCGTCCGTGATACCCTACTTAATGACTTCTCGGGGTCGGGACTTCTTCATGCAGCCTGGCATGAATTTCTCCCAAAGCAGTCCTGTATCACCCAGCTATTAGAAGTCATGACAGATTGGGGCGCCGCAGTAGAGGATGGAGAGCCGGTGGACGTGGCGTGCCTGGACTTAACCAAAGCCTTTGATTCTGTGCCTCATAATTGTCTGCTCTCCAAGCCTCATGCTGACGGTGTGAGAGGTAATTTTCTCCGCCGGATCAGGGCTTCCCTTACCCACCGGATGCAGGGAGTGCGTGGGTCCAGGATCCAGGGCTCGAAGTCGGTCAGTGCGTGTCCAGTCAGTGCGGGTCCAGGGCTCGAAGTCGGACTGGATCGACGTCGTCAGTGGCATCCCACAAAGATCAGTGTTTGGACCAACGCTATTCATAATCTTCGTGAACGATCTGCCAGAACTAGCGCGAAGCGTGGTCAAGATAGCTGTGGATGACACCAAGGTCTGCTGCCGTGTCCCGAGGCCCGGGACTGACACACCTCTTCAGGTTGACCTGGACGCCCTTGCCAAGTGGTCAGAGGAGTGACTGCTTCCCTTTAGTGCAAAATAATGCACATCGGGAACTGCAACCCGAGGCTGACCTTCCTCTTGGATGGCGCCGAAGTTGCGATCGAGTCCACCGAGAAGGACCTCGGGATCTTTGTGGATTATAGGCTTAAGTCCCACGTGGAGACGGTGGATGCGATCTCCAAGGCCAACCAGATACTACCGGTCGTGAGGCGGTATTTTGCCAACATCGAGGCTCGCACGTTGTCATTGCTCTTTAAGATCTTCGTACGTCCGTACTAGAGTATGGCAACGCCATCTGGGGCTCGTTCGGCAAACTGGACCACAAGCGGCTGGAACGGGTTCAGCGACGAGCTACCCGTCTTGTCTATGAAGTGAGGCACCAGCCATACCCTGAGAGGTTCAGACTCCTCCAGTTGCCCTCCCTGTACTACCGTCGTCGCAGGGGAGACATGACAACAGTGTACGAGCTGTTTCACGGAGGTATGTCGCTGTCGGAAGAGGAGTTTCTGACAAGACCAACTCGGAGGTGACGAGAGGACACTAATGGAAACTAAGAAAACTTGGAGCTAGGACTCTCGTCTGTCGTAACTCGTTCAGCACACGGGTCATCAACGAATGGAGTGTTCTTTCACACCCGGTCGTGTCGTCAACCACAATTGAACAGTTCAAGTCTCGGCTTGATATGCATTGGGCCGACATTATTCATGACATTCCACGCTGAATCTACCCATAATTTGGGACTGTTTGGTTACCGGACCGGAAGCCTGACGAGACCGGGACCGAGAGGCCTAGTGACGTTTTGTAATTCCCCGATTACCGTAAGTTAAGGTAGGGTAAGGAAGCAACCCACCGGTTTTGAATATGTTGCACAAGGACAATATAAGAAATGTAGAAATAATCTGCCAGAACGTAAGCATTTCTGGTCATTTTTTAAATAAGTCATTCAATTTGTCCATTATGCTATTAAAAACAAGGTTTACTCATGTGTTTGATGCCTCCTTGGTTGCTGATTTAGCTAACCTGTCTTCATGTGATCAAAGAAGTCCAAGTTATGAATCTTCTCTTATTTCTGATGAGCAGGAATGTGTAACAGCTCACTGAATGCAGGGCAGGCAGGTTTTGCAGGAATTGTGTTGCCCCTACTTGGTATGACAACAGGTGATACAAAAGATGACAACTGTGCAGTGTTACTGACAGGGGGATTGCAATGAACCGTCACCATGGTCATAATTATACCTATATTATATCTATAAGTGCAGGGTTAACAATTTGGTTTCAAGATGCGAAGTCATTGAGAACAATATAGGAGACGCAGGATGCCTGCTGGGAATCATTCCAAAATGTTTGCTAACATTGCTAGCGAATCAATATACATGAGAAACAATGGCGATAATGTTCAGCCATAAAATTGTGTGCTGCTTCTACAGGAAAACCATGTTTTGTTGCTTTTACAGAAACTGGTACTATGCCAATTTGGCATCAACCAAATGTTGATGGTAAAGTCTGGTAAAGATGTGCCATAGAATAAAGATAAGAGGGATGAGACAAACCTGCGCATCGCATGTACTGCATTTGTTGATGGGGCTCTGAGATTGATCCAACAAAGAGCTGTTGATGGGTGCCATAGTAGATCAGTGGTGATGCTCAAAATGCTAGCGTGCAACTAGCACTAGTTGCAAGGATAGTAGGAGCATTCAACGCTACATCCTTCTTTGATGCATCATCTATGCCTGTTCTGGGCGTGATAACGCCTTCCAGTCACACTAAACAGAGGTCCGCTGGCACCATCAATCTGCTGCTGATATATATCAGGTGTGAAATAAAGCAGCTGTCACTCTCCGCCGTGTGTTGTGGGAAACTAGACCCTGACAGTCATCTTTACACTGATGGCTGTTGCTTCAGAAGTAGATTAACACGTGTGAAACAATCCCTGGAGGAACCAACCATTTTCAAACCGATGAGATGAAGAGTGATGCAAACACTGTGCTGTTCACTGATGGCAGGAAATCTGAAGTGTTCTGCGGCGACTAACGACAAGTTTCGACGCAAGTGAACATGCAACTGTTAAACTGTGGCCCCATATACCCATATGCTGGCAGTATGCCAGCGCTGTCTGTGTAGCTGGCCCAAGGCTGGGTGAGATCGGTCTGTGTGACCGCGCACCGGCCGTGTTCCCAGGGCGATAGCTGCCGAGCCGGACGGCGGCGTGCGGGGAGATCGCCCACGCACCGCCGGGTGCGGTCGACGACGGCTGATGGCTCCCCCCGCCGCCGCCGCCGCCGGGCGGCTGGGGGCGGCGCGCCGCGCACTCCTGCCCGTCACCGTGGAGCCCGTGCTCTTCCTCTTCATGGTCGGCTCGTACATGCAGTACACGGCCCTACAGTCGCTCATCTACGCCAAGGTGAGCGTGCGCTCGAGCGGCTGGCGGAAGCTCTGCATGTGGCGCCGTCCTGGACTGGGATCGACTGTCGTGCGGTCACTTGCATGCCGGCTTCACGCATTTTGTATAAGAAAGAAATGTCTTCAGCTCATGGTTTTTTCGGCATTATGAATGTTGAGCTAACGACACTCGTTGTACCAGGGGGTATCAGTTAAATGGCGTTATTGCAATGTCACCGACTAGTACCTCCTGGTATGTTGAAGGTCGTTATTGGAACATACAAACTCCGACTCTTAACGTTTCATGCATGCCTAATTGCCGCCGAAAGTACATTTAAACGTTTAGCATAAACGTAGCATAAATTTAGCATAAACATGGCATATCAAACATAAACAAGGCCAGCATCTTGTTAAAAACGACGGGTTACGCGGAACACACGCGTGCATGCGAGTATGTTTGGTCACTTCGGATCTGTTTGCACATGGGCGCTCTTCCAGTATGTGCGACCTGCCGACGAGACGTACATGCCGATAAGGGTCAGCTGTTTGTTGTGGTACTGTCATGTCCTCCAAACCGACAGCGGTCCATGAGTTCTGCGCTATGTTGTCTTCTATCTTTTTGTTAATCGTCTTTTATTTAGAAATTCCGTTATTCATCTATTTTGTGGTCATCGTTTTTGTTGTGTTTTGTTACGTCTGAAAGCCCAAGCATTTTAGCGTAAAAGGAACGCTGAAAGGATATGCGTACGCAGAGACAATAAGCATCACAATCAGATGATCAGGTCAAGTTGCTTGCGGTACGCTACGTCTGCAAACCACCGAATGGATACTGCTCCTCAAGTAACACACTGAATGCATTACGGGTGGTATAGGTTGCATGTTGAAGACAGACATTTCAGCGGAAAGAGGGAACCGTGGGCAAACGTCAAGGAAACAGCCATGATGACATTCGACAGCCATTACGGATGTTGCTTGGAAACAGTTCTGCGTGTGCACCATCTCATTAAATGCAAACAAATCGTTGTATGTCATTAAGAGCTGTTGGTAGTGCAACACTATGTCGTGTCACTGATCGCTCCCATCGCGTGTGTGGTGACTGCAGGTATGCCAAGAGAGGTACAGCTCGTACGTGTGCGACACCCTGGACCTGGCCGAGCACAAGCCTCAGGAGGACGAGGTCCAGGACCAGTCCTCTTACTGGATGCTCTTGTCCAACGTGGCACTGGCAGTGCCGTCGGTGATCAGCGGCATCTACATCGGTACTTGGAGTGACGTGTTCGGCCGCAAGGTGCCGCTGCTGCTGCCGCCGCTGGGCCAGATTTTATCGGCGCTCGTCTTCATGGTCATGTCGGCGTACCGGGCCGCGCCCGTGGACCTGGTCATACTGGCCAGCGGAGTTGCAGGTCAGAGGACGAAGTGGACAGAGAGTGGAAGGGGTAGGGGAGAAAGGAGGCGTTTCTCTTGAGAGGAGTGCTCCACGCTCGTGTCGGGTTTTAGACGGAAATAGCCATCTTGAAGATCATTCGGTGTAATTGACGTGCGTGACCTTATTAAGACCTAAACCGCTCTAGTTTATGCGTTACACGCTAGCGAAGATGTGCAAACTATTTCGGGGGACTATTTGAGGTCTACAGGCATCCACAGTTCCATGATAAGGCCATTCAAATCCTGTCATTCCGTTGGCCATGTGGCGTTCAAAGCCGGAGAAAAATACCATGATCGATTCGTTCATATCTGACATTCGTGAGCACGGTTCCAAACAAACCGGCCGTCGATTAGCTCTCATTGAATGTTGTGCAAGGTATGATGTTGTAATGAGATGACCCATTGTCAAGTACATCAACTAAACAGAGAAATCATCTCGTCTAGAACGGTCTTTTCCATTTGCATATACCAATAGCTATAAGTCAGTTGATTCCATCATATCAGATGCTTGCTTCAATATCTTCAAATGTGGAACATCCCCTTCAGTCTGGGTGCCCCTGCCTCGTCCAACGCAGCAGTAGAAGGCTTGCATTTGTGTTGTGTGTTGTCGGCGATGATAGAAAGGACTGGATTGCTGGCAGTGAAATGCTCTTTCATGTGCAGTGGCGTAGGAGTTAGCTACACGAATGAGGTATATAAACTTCTGTGCTGAGTAGATGTAGGAAATCCCACAACGATCCTGCACTGCCATGACGTTCCCAGGAAGCCCCGGCTTTTTAGGCCAGTAGTGGGATATAATGGCAATCACGCAGAGAAGCCATCGAAATGCATGCATGCATTCATTGCTCTTGTGTTAGACGTGTTGCACGTTTGTTGAGTTTTTTATTGCGTGTCCTCAGTCCTGGAGTAGAAAAGGGAGCAATGTGAAACAGACCCTACAGTTAGTTTACATAAAAGGGAACGTTAGTGAGGGAGGCTCTATTGCACGCGAGTAAACATCATTTTGGACCTCACAGCAAGCCCCTGGCCAGCCGCCCGGTCCAAGTCGCGTTGCCTCGTGACCACGACACCCCCACAGCTCCCGTGTGGCGCGCGCGCGCGCAGCGGACCGGGCCGACCGATCTGGCCGGTGACCACGACACCCCCACAGCTCCCGCGTGGCGCGCGCGCACGCAGCGGACCGGGTTGACCGATCCGCTCGGCGTCGGCAGGCGCGCTGGGCGGCTTCGCCGGCATGATCCTGGTCGTGATGTCGTACCTGTCGGCGGTGACGGCGACGGGCGCGCGGACGGCGCGTGTCGGCGTCCTGGAGGCCATGTCGCTGCTGGGGGGCTTCATCGGCCCGTTCGTCGGCTCGCTGGTGTTCGAACAGGCCGGCCGCACCTGGACGTTCTGCGCGCTGCTGATCATCAACGTGGCGATCGTGCTGTACGTGGTGCTGCTGGTGCGCGAGGTGCCGCCACCGTGCCCGCCACCCGCCGCCGATTCGCTGTGCGAGACGCTGACCCAGGTGAGGACGGTGAACGTGTGGACGGGTCCGAACCGATACAGGTGTGCCAGGGGACCGCAGATAAGCTGCGTGACACTGCGCAGACGCCGGGACAGCGAGCAGACGGACAGGAGAGGGAGCGGGCGGCTGGACAGGAAGCAGACAGGACAGGAGAGGGAGCAGGCGGGCTGGATAGGGAGCTGATGGACAGGGGAGGGGGCAGGCGGGCTGGACAGGGAGCAGGACGGACAGGACAGTGAGCAAACGGGCTGGACAGGGAGCAGGCGGGCTGGACAGGGAGTAGACGGACAGGACAGGGAGCGGACGGGCTGGGCAGGGAGCAGGCGGGCTGGACAGGGAACTGGGTGGCTGAACTGTGTCAGCAGTCACACTGCGTGCGTCGTGAACGAGTCTGATGCTAGTGTCATTTATTGCTTGAAATTATCTGATGGGGTTCTGATATGCATTTGTTCAATCAACCATTTCAATCAACCTTTTTCCTCCCCGTCTCAGGCTTGGCCTATCCCACGACTGGACAGGATTGCGGAGCATGCATCCGATTTTTCCTGTTTGGGTGCTAAGCAGTTTTGAAATTGAAATGTATAATGTCAGAAGCTGTTCATCACGTTCGAAGCAAACGCTGAGCTGTACGGAGTTCCAGCGCATCGAACGTGCAGACGTAACCGTCAAAGACCTGCCGGCTGGTCGCATGTCTTGATCGGTCGCGGTTGTACTCTGATCATCTGATGGGTACATGTATCGTTTATAACCCGGTGCAGAGACTGGTCCCATCTGGTTCGGTCGGCAGGCTCCGAAAGGGTGAGCTCAGTGTTGTTATTCGACACCTGGCGCGATGCGACGAGTCTGCTGTCGGTCAGCAGGCGGGCTGCGATCTGGCACGTCTGCTGTTTTGCAGCTGTTCAGTCTGCGGCACCTTCTCGACGCCATCCTGACGAGCGTGAGGTCACGCGAAGGCCGTCGCAGGCGCTACATCCTGATGCTGCTGGCGTCCAGCTTTGTCATCATGCTCAACTCATCAGGTCAGCCTGCGCTGCAGCCGTGGTCAGATGGTGCAATCTTAACGCGCGTCACCATCAGTCAGAGCTATCAGAGGCTGGTCGGAATGCTAGTGCCGGTAGTGTGTTTGGCCTCACTGTTGTTACCCTTGTTTTAAGGCTTGTAATTATCCGAAAGAACACCCGTCCGTTGTATCCCACACAGTGAAACATACGTGCACGAGATGGTTGTCATCCCAGCAAACCCGATGGTCGTGGATCGAGCGGTTGTTTTTGGCGTCGTAATACGGATGCCGAGCTGCTGTTGTCGAGCGTTCGCGTCTCGCCCCGGTCACTGGTCCGACCCGGCACTGACGCGTGTGGCGGCGGCGTAGGCGAGAACGACGTCACGTACCTCTACATCAAGGACGCGCCGCTCCAGCTCGCCGACAGCGCGTTACAATGCCTACTTTAGCTTTAAGTACGCCGTCGGCTCGTTTGACGCTGATTAGTGAGTGGCGAAGGGGTTCGGGTCGCGGCCCGCCCGCCGCCGGGGGCCGGGGCCGCGTCCCGTCAGCCGTCTCGTCGTCCGGCGCCTCCAGTCTGAACCCAGGCCTTCTTTGTGACGGTGGGCTTGCGGTTGTCCGTTTGGCTTCGTCCCTTCGTGCGCGTGCTTTGTGGGGCCTCGAGTCGTCAGGGAGTGTCGCAGCGCGCCTGAGGCGTTACGCACTGATGTATCGGGAGCTATGTCGCTATCAGATGTCATGCCACATTTCGGGCACCCTGCTTTTGTGCTGCCGTTCGGATCTCAAGAAAAGGCCACGGGCTTGTCCAAATCAAATCATTTGTGCCTTTGGTCACAGCTGGAGTGCGGCTTGGGCTCTTGCCGTGTCGTTCATTTTCACAATAGACAAGTGATTAGCATTAATTATCAGTTTTCATAAGCCTTAGCCAAGGGGCTGCTGGAAGCAAAACTGCGAGCAAAACGCGTCGACCAGACTGGGTCGTGTTTATGGCTGGTCGCAGACTGGGGCAATGTGCTGTTTCGGCTGGCGCGTTTTTATTTGCCGTCTGAAGTGAGCCCCCGTCGCGTCCTATACATCAGAACTATCAACTTACCTCGGCATGTCGTTATCTTGTCTTGGGTCGGTTTCGGCATCACCATCTCACCTTGCGTATGAGCGGCTTCCTAGATGTCGGGTTGTCAAGTTTGTGTAATGCATTTTTCGTGATCTCGGCAACCATAATGTGGTGGTCCAGTGACCCCCCACCCCTACCCCCCCAAGCACCCCCCCCCCCCCTGCCCTTCAGTACCGATAACGTTGCATTTCGTCCATGCTGTCTCCCACCGCAGTCAGGCGGTCGACGCAGGTTGGAGGCGTTTTTGTCCAGGTTAAGTTTTTTCGCCGTAATCAAAGACCTCATCAACAGTCGTGGACATCGCGCCGATGTTTCAGAACGGTATTTTTGACCTGAGTTGTAACATGGTATTTAGCCCAGGGAAGCAGCCGAGATCGGTTTGAGCTTCGGGTCGTCGCTTTTGGCTTCAGCTGGCTTTTTGGGTTTGGGACTTGGACATCCGGTGCGTCAGTTGTGAGTCCGTGTGTTTGTTTTGTCCTCAGGGAAATGCATGCCACGTACTTGTTCGTCCGAGATGCACCGTTAGCTGTGGAAGACTCGACGTACTTCGCCTATTTTGCTTATAAATATGGAATTTCCTCGGCTGCCCTTCTAAGTAAGTGTTCTTGCATTTATTGCACCGCACATCTTTCTTCGAATCCCTTGAAACTGTTAATTGCGCGCACGTGCGTGCGCGCGTGTGTAGATATAAAAAGGTCTGTTCCTGGACAATACGTTGTGATAAAAAAATGTGATTCATGATTCGTGGAGCTGAGTGTTTTCTTTTGCTCTCTACGAAGACGAAAGCGACCGTAGAATTTTTCTTAAATAAATTGATTCAGTCCACCTACTTGTATATTTGAAAAATTTGCCGATTTTGGCTGTTTTCCGCATGTCGGCAAGAAAACAACGGATTTATGTCACTTTTAAAGTGGTCTAGAAATTGCTTTCAGCGAAGGTGGGCCCGGTTTTTGGAAAGCTTACACCGTGCTGTTTTCATTGAAAGCTCAACTGCTTATCAAACGTATCTCTGGCACTAATAAGAAAGCCCGGGTAGTTTTTTGCGTCCTCCAAGGGCTGCTGACCTGGTTTAAAATACTTCGCCAGTAGGAGAGGCATTTCCTTATTGAAATTTCTAGAACTGTTCAGGAACAGGAAATCTCTTTGAAGCTCAGAGTGTGTGGTGTCCCCGGGGCGCAGGTAGCATCTCGCCGATGCCGGGGGGGGGGGGGGGGGCGGGGGGAGTGCAACTCGAAGTTTGTCACTGGAAACATTAGTTCACTGGGTTCACAGGTGCACCAAAATGTTACATGGCTTAAAACAATATGGCACGTCCATGATATCCTTATTGCTACATGTATTAAGTTTTATGAAAATTTGAAGCTTAGTTTGACGTGTATACATTTTTCGTGTGAGTATTCATTTAAGCGCATGCTAATGCATGTAATAGATCGTATAAGGTGGGAGCAATTGTCCCTGCGGTCGCTACGTGCGCACTTGCCCTGGATCTTGCGTGTTTCGGTAAGATGGTCTTTTCAATAATACAACTCATAATTTAGCCCTGTGTATGCATTTTGTTATAAATCACAATGCCATTTTGGCCGTGAGGCTCTCTGACCACGGCTGTAGAAATGAAATGATTCCTGAACCTTTTTTAATGTGGGAAACATCTGTTCCGGATTCATATCACTTCTACGGACTGTGGTGAGACGTAGTATTAAGACCTGAAATCTCTTTTGATGGAAGAAGTTTGTCGTACGCAATGAATGAATACGATGGTACATTACACAAGGCCCACCTCACCAATGCAAGAGTGGGTACTCATTCCTTGCTTTAAAAAAGACATCCTGCTGCACCAAGAGTGCTAAAATTTAGATAGAGAATACGTCCTCCGAGGCCAAAGTAGGTGAACCAGATAAACAGCACCTGGAGAATGCAAACATTGCGGTGAACGTTCTTTGTTTTTGCTAAATATATATATATATATATATATATATATATATATATATATATATATAATATGTATCTAAGCAACATTTCTTAAACATTGGGTCTACATTGAAAAAAAGTTGATAGACTGGGATTTCTGAAACAGGTCCTATCTTTGCTGGAAAGGCAGTTATCGACTACTTTACAAGGAACAACATAACGTCAGTTTCAGCCAAAATGCTGAGAAACAGCAAGTCGGCCCTTTGTTTAATTCACAAACGGGTAGCTAAGCCATTTTATTTGGGGCTTTTCACCACCACCTATTGGGACGCGCTGGTCGGCGCAGCTGACCGAGCTGCAGCCGATCCGTCCCCGCTGGCCGTGCCGTGCCGTGCCGTGCCGTGGTGACCTGACCCGGCGTGCCGCGGGCGCATTTCAGTCGGCATGCCCCTGTCGCGGCGCTACTTCCCGCTGAGTGACACCGCCTTGTCCGGACTGGGCCTCACCTCGAAGATCCTCGGCCTCTATCTGGCTCGGGTTCGCCGTCAATAAGGCCATGCTCTTCATAGGTACATCGCTGCGCCGTAGACTGAAGCTGTATTGCAGGAGAGCGCGTCGAGGGGCCCCGCGGGTTCATGAATCGTTGGTTCCGTGGTCTCCGATTATCAGTGGGCTTCTGAAGCCGCATTGGCGCGAGGAAGATGCCGTCTTGGAGTTGCGTGGTGGTTGAGATAGCCCGTTAGGGTGTTTCTGCTGAAGCGAATCAATCTCGGATGCCTTGTGTTGCTGAGCATTATGTGTTGCCTTTTTCTTAACGTAAACGTACTATGCTCAGCTAAGATGAACGCACATACGATTATGCGTTACTTGTTATTCCCAATATGTATGCCATTGTTAAGCGCCACGGCCCAGTGGAGCGCCCGTTAACCGTTCGCCTCGGCTTCAGCGCCGCTGGTGATGATCCTCAACACGTTCTGCATCCCGCCGATCCGTTCCATGCTCTCCAAACTGGTGGAAGACAACGAGCAAGGTACGAGGCCGCGGGTTGGCTCCTGGCAGCGTGCCTATCCTGCTCGTGATTACTTCGAGTCGGGGTCGCTATGCGCCGGCGCGTGGCGTTCGATGCGCTTTAGTCTCACGTCAGAGGTTGTGGTATGGTTATTCGCCTCTCGCCTGTTATCACCTGTCCATTCGTTCTGTGATGCTATTCAAATTTCCGTTGAACGTATCGCGACCCGGCACCACTTGGAATGCTGCTGTACTATACGTGATCGCATGGGGTTGGACCACTTGCCATTGTAGCTCCGGGTGGTGTTGTGTGTTGTTTGTGTGGTTGTGTAACGGCCAGATAGGACAGATTCGAATGCCGATCGTTACATTTAATCTGTTTGGTACGCGGTTTTCTCAGCAAGTACACTTATGTGACCCAAGCTATCACAGATAACTGAACACACAAATAACAAGGAAGGCTTGCAAGTGGCAGCGTATCCTTCAGCGGGCGTAGTTTTGCCGTGAGGACCTTTGGACTGGTGTGAAGGAAAAGGGACAATCTTGTGTGAGGTGCCTTGTAGTCCCTTTTTGCATCAGGCAAATGGTCACAAGTTATCTTTGGTTCGTTGTCAAACTGAGGTGATGTCAGATCATGCTAGTCAGATAAGATCAGTGTCAGTCAGGTCAGTGGATCAGGTCAATCAGGTCAGTGGATCGAGTCAAGCAGGTCACTTGATCAGATCAATCAGGTCAGTTGATCAAGTTAATCAGGCCAGATGATCAGGTCAGGTCAATCGGTCAGTCGATCAGGTCACCGGCGTGTCCGTAAATATCATGCCGTGAATGACGATACTCTGGTCAGCGTTACTAGACTACTGCTCGCCTTATTTGCTTCCAGTGCAGGAAGCTTTTGCAACCTAGTGCGGACGCATGCATTCGTCTTCAATTAGTTGACCGATGTGGCGCGTTTCGTTGACAATGCGGTTTTCTGTTAAAATATGCAATATTGACCATCTGACAACTCACGAGCCTTCGCTGTGGCCACATTTACCGATTAGCGCCCCGCAGTGTATGCCAGGGAGGAGGGGAGGGTCTCGGCACTACAACACGCGGTCGAGGGTTAATCCAGGTCAAAAGAAAATTAAAGCTCATCTCCATTAAATCTTCATCAAATCTTCAGGTGTGCCGGCGTGAATTGAACCGACTGTCACGTGCCCGTGTTGGCGTTATGCCCGGCGCGCGGCCCCGTCTGACGCTGGCCGGTCGCGTGCAGGCCGCATCTTCTCGATGGTGATGGTGATCGAGAGCCTGTGCTCGCTGTTCGGCTCGCTCGTCTACAACAGCGTGTACCCGGCCACGCGGCGCCACCTGCACGGGCTCGTCTTCCTGCTGGGCGCCGCCAGCCTGCTGGTGCCGGCCGCGCTGCTGGCCGTGCTG